TATGGTATATGTACCATAATACCGATTCGAAAACTCAACCTAACCATTTTGGGAAAACTTACGGTAAGATCACCTTGTGGACTGGACAAACGTGGTTTTAATACCAGGGTGGTCTGAATAACGATTATGAGTAAGTATGTTGTTTTATGTAATACAATATTCAACACAGAAATTGCAGCTAGAAGGCCAGTTTGACACCTACAGATTGGACACCTGTTGGATGGAAACTATGTTTTTACGACTGGTCTGTTGTCTGAAAAGTGAGGTAACATTAAGTTCATATTGGTCTCTGGGACTTTTTTTTTGAATGATCATTATTTCGAGACGGTGTTAATAGTGATATGGTCTTAATAGTGAAATTCACAATACAAAAACAATTAAAAAAAATACGAACATGTCAACCTAATCGTGACAAATGTACCCTCCTTATTATGTATCAGATAATTGTCCCCTTGATTCTGGTAGCCATTATAAATACATCCTCCCAATATATCTGATCACTGTTCCCTATTTAAGATATCTACTAAACCTTACAACCTTCTTCTATCATTGCTGTCCAGTAATGTATGTATAGTCCTTTATGCAATAAACTTTCTCCTAAAATAGAAGGATGCTATTTTTCCGCGACGTTCTCTTTGGGTGTTTTATCGTAGGGTAGGGTAGACTAGAATGATAAAGGTTGTACATTCTAGGTGTGTCCTCTGTTGTGAGATAAAGGTTGTAGTACATTCTAGGTGTGTCCTCTGTTGTGAGATAAAGGTTGTAGTACATTCTAGGTGTGTCCTCTGTTGTGAGATAAAGGTTGTAGTACATTCTAGGTGTGGCCTCTGTTGTGAGATAAAGGTTGTACATTCTAGGTGTGTCCTCTGTTGTGAGATAAAGGTTGTAGTACATTCTAGGTGTGTCCTCTGTTGTGAGATAAAGGTTGTAGTACATTCTAGGTGTGTCCTCTGTTGTGAGATAAAGGTTGTAGTACATTCTAGGTGTGTCCTCTGTTGTGAGATAAAGGTTGTACAATCTAGGTGTGACCTCTGTTGTGAGATAAAGTGACCTCTGTTGTGAGATAAAGGTTGTAGTACATTCTAGGTGTGTCCTCTGTTGTGAGATAAAGGTTGTAGTACATTCTAGGTGTGTCCTCTGTTGTGAGATAAAGGTTGTAGTACATTCTAGGTGTGTCCTCTGTTGTGAGATAAAGGTTGTAGTACATTCTAGGTGTGTCCTCTGTTGTGAGATAAAGGTTGTAGTACAGTCTAGGTGTGTCCTCTGTTGTGAGATAAAGGTTGTACATTCTAGGTGTGTCCTCTGTTGTGAGATAAAGGTTGTAGTACAGTCTAGGTGTGTCCTCTGTTGTGAGATAAAGGTTGTAGTACATTCTAGGTGTGTCCTCTGTTGTGAGATAAAGGTTGTAGTACATTCTAGGTGTGTCCTCTGTTGTGAGATAAAGGTTGTACATGTGTCCTCTGTTCTAGGTGTGTCCTCTGTTGTGAGATAAAGGTTGTAGTACATTCTAGGTGTGTCCTCTGTTGTGAGATAAAGGTTGTAGTACATTCTAGGTGTGTCCTCTGTTGTGAGATTAAAGGTTGTACATTCTAGGTGTGTCCTCTGTTGTGAGATAAAGGTTGTAGTACATTCTAGGTGTGTCCTCTGTTGTGAGATAAAGGTTGTAGAAGTGTGTCCTCTGTTGTGAGATAAAGGTTGTAGTACATTCTAGGTGTGTCCTCTGTTGTGAGATAAAGGTTGTAGTACATTCTAGGTGTGTCCTCTGTTGTGAGATAAAGGTTGTAGTAGGTGTGTGTCAGATAAAGGTTGTAGTACATTCTAGGTGTGTCCTCTGTTGTGAGATAAAGGTTGTAGTACATTCTAGGTGTGTCCTCTGTTGTGAGATAAAGGTTGTAGTACATTCTAGGTGTGTCCTCTGTTGTGAGATAAAGGTTGTAGTACATTCTAGGTGTGTCCTCTGTTGTGAGATAAAGGTTGTAGTACATTCTAGGTGTGTCCTCTGTTGTGAGATAAAGGTTGTAGTACATTCTAGGTGTGTCCTCTGTTGTGAGATAAAGGTTGTAGTACATTCTAGGTGTGTCCTCTGTTGTGAGATAAAGGTTGTAGTACATTCTAGGTGTGTCCTCTGTTGTGAGATAAAGGTTGTAGTACATTCTAGGTGTGTCCTCTGTTGTGAGATGTTGTGAGATAAAGGTTGTAGTACATTCTAGGTGTGTCCTCTGTTGTGAGATAAAGGTTGTACATTCTAGGTGTGTCCTCTGTTGTGAGATAAAGGTTGTAGTACATTCTAGGTGTGTCCTCTGTTGTGAGATAAAGGTTGTAGTACATTCTAGGTGTGTCCTCTGTTGTGAGATAAAGGTTGTAGTACATTCTAGGTGTGTCCTCTGTTGTGAGATAAAGGTTGTAGTACATTCTAGGTGTGTCCTCTGTTGTGAGATAAAGGTTGTAGTACATTCTAGGTGTGTCCTCTGTTGTGAGATAAAGGTTGTAGTACATTCTAGGTGTGTCCTCTGTTGTGAGATAAAGGTTGTAGTACATTCTAGGTGTGTCCTCTGTTGTGAGATAAAGGTTGTAGTACATTCTAGGTGTGTCCTCTGTTGTGAGATAAAGGTTGTAGTACATTCTAGGTGTGTCCTCTGTTGTGAGATAAAGGTTGTAGTACATTCTAGGTGTGTCCTCTGTTGTGAGATAAAGGTTGTAGTACAGTCTAGGTGTGTCCTCTGTTGTGAGATAAAGGTTGTAGTACATTCTAGGTGTGTCCTCTGTTGTGAGATAAAGGTTGTAGTACATTCTAGGTGTGTCCTCTGTTGTGAGATAAAGGTTGTAGTACATTCTAGGTGTGTCCTCTGTTGTGAGATAAAGGTTGTAGTACATTCTAGGTGTGTCCTCTGTTGTGAGATAAAGGTTGTAGTACATTCTAGGTGTGTCCTCTGTTGTGAGATAAAGGTTGTAGTACATTCTAGGTGTGTCCTCTGTTGTGAGATAAAGGTTGTAGTACATTCTAGGTGTGTCCTCTGTTGTGAGATAAAGGTTGTAGTAGATTCTAGGTGTGTCCTCTGTTGTGAGATAAAGGTTGTAGTACATTCTAGGTGTGTCCTCTGTTGTGAGATAAAGGTTGTAGTACATTCTAGGTGTGTCCTCTGTTGTGAGATAAAGGTTGTAGTACATTCTAGGTGTGTCCTCTGTTGTGAGATAAAGGTTGTAGTACATTCTAGGTGTGTCCTCTGTTGTGAGATAAAGGTTGTAGTACATTCTAGGTGTGTCCTCTGTTGTGAGATAAAGGTTGTACATTCTAGGTGTGTCCTCTGTTGTGAGATAAAGGTTGTAGTACATTCTAGGTGTGTCCTCTGTTGTGAGATAAAGGTTGTAGTGTCCTCTGTTGTGAGATAAAGGTTGTAGTACATTCTAGGTGTGTCCTCTGTTGTGAGATAAAGGTTGTAGTACATTCTAGGTGTGTCCTCTGTTGTGAGATAAAGGTTGTAGTACATTCTAGGTGTGTCCTCTGTTGTGAGATAAAGGTTGTAGTACATTCTAGGTGTGTCCTCTGTTGTGAGATAAAGGTTGTAGTACATTCTAGGTGTGTCCTCTGTTGTGAGATAAAGGTTGTAGTACATTCTAGGTGTGTCCTCTGTTGTGAGATAAAGGTTGTAGTACATTCTAGGTGTGTCCTCTGTTGTGAGATAAAGGTTGTAGTACATTCTAGGTGTGTCCTCTGTTGTGAGATAAAGGTTGTACAGTCTAGGTGTGTCCTCTGCTGTGAGATAAAGGTTGTACTTTCTAGGTGTGACCTCTGTTGTGAGATAAAGGTTGTAGTACATTCTAGGTGTGAAGAAAAATAATGAGTGAAATGTCGACAATAGCAAAAGGCACAACTAGGGCTATGACTTAATATATACAGAAAGGTTTGTGAAGTTGAGTTGAACGGTTTGGAAGTTATAGCTCAGAAAAGCCCTCTTTTGGTGTTTTCTGACTATGTTTCCATGGTAACAGAAAAAAATATAAAAAGTGAAATGTCGACAATAGCAAAAGGCACAACTAGGGCAATGACTTAATATATACAGAAAGTTTTGTGAAGTTGAATTGAACGGTTTCGAAGTTATAGCCCGGAAAAGCCCTCTTTTGGTGTTTTCTGACTATGTTTCCAAGGTAACAGAAAAAAATATAAAGAGTGAAAAGTCGCCATTAGCAAAAGGCACAACTAGGGCACCAACTTAATATATATAGGAAGTTCTGTGAAGTTGAGTTGAACAGTTTCGAAGTTATAGCCCGGAAAAGCACTTGGACGGACAGACGGAGCCCAATTTAATAACCCCGCAAACGCTTTTGGTGGGGGATAATAAGAGAATTCAATTTACTTAGATATCTCTGAAGGGTTCGGGAAAGTAATAAACAAGTAGTTGTGCTGAGATATCAAGAAGGATTTTATGGTATTTATTTTGCCAATAGGAGTCAAATTCTGCTTTTCCATGCATTAATTGAAGGCTTGAGTTTGAATAATTTTTTTTCATAATTCAATTTAGGGATTTCAGTCAAGTCAACAAAAAGGTCTATTCTCACTATTATCTTCTACTGGTTGTGTTATAAAAACTTCTATTCTATTGACATCATCAACCTGAAAAAAATGTTCCAACAAATAAATGCATGAAGTTTGATCAAAATCATGAAGCCACTGGAGTGCCGACAAGGAGAAGTATTTATATATAGGAAACATCCCTATATCCTCAAGGAACATAATGAGGTCCTATTAACTTAGATGTTTAAAGTTGCATATCTAGATGACGGTTGTGTGGATAAATAGTTTAAATGTGTTTCTGTCTAGTCATTTTTGTTGACTTTATATACACCATATACAAATGTAATATAATCTACTTGAGAAGGTGGCAGCAGTGGATCTTGTAAGTTATTTTGAACCAACATTATCAAGCACAGCATTGTAATACAAACATCAGTTCTCTCAGAAATAATCCCTTCCTCCCCTGTCCAACAATAGAAACAAAAGCTTGCTTAGATTTAGATTTTATTTCAGTTTTGTATAGTACCAATCTAAATTTGGTATTTCACATAATACTTCTTCTTTCACATTAGCTGTTTTCTGTTTGGCCGCTTTCCCTAAATCAATTTTTGGCACAGATTCCTGTTTTCCATCAACATCCATGTCTGAATCTGATTCTGAGTTCGTCTCTTTTTCTTCCACATCTGACATATCATTGTCATCTTCGTCTTTTTTATCTAGAAGAGTGCTGAAATAGAAGAACCTCGTTATAAAATTTCTCAATATTTCCTGTGTAAAAAGTCCTTGTGTCCGAGCCACTAACTCTCATTATAAAACAATTTCCTGTCATCAGCATTATAATGTACCCTATTTATACTATATATATTGATGCTCCATAGAATTACATATGAATGCTATTTCATCCCTTAACATAGGTAATAACTTCCATGTAGGCCCTGAGTTTATTACGAGGGAAATATGGCATGTCTGAATAAGATTGTCAAGGAGATATTTGTGTTTAAGACCAAACAAAACACCATCTACAAACTCTTCAAATCTATCCTTAAATTCTGAGAAAACCCAGGAACTATTTTCTTTTGATTTTAGAATTGCTTTCATTGCTTATCTTCAAGGTGAATTTTGTTTTCATATTTCCTGAATATCTGAATGAGGTTTCATATACAATTACCCTGGTGATGTCTCACGGATCAGTAAGGAATGGATAAAACTGCCACACAGACTTGTCACAGGTGCCTGAACATGAGAGGCTGTCTCCAGCAACTGCAACATCAGTATATTAAAAGTGTTTCAACTATGTAGAACAAGCATCCAACACATTAAATATCTCTGTTATTGTCAGAGTTGTGTAAAATCACAATACTGATCACCAGCTTCCTCTGTACATAATTTACTCATTTTCTTCATTCACTTCTGCTGAATTGTATGTACGATTACCTGGCCCTGTCTTACCTGTGATGTGAACTGAGCCGCTGTCATGTACACCTTACTGTCTAACTCCTTGTACTCTGATGGTTCAAATCCTTTCTTACGTTCAGCTGTCAGCAGGAGGCTGAATGGAGTTTGGGGAAGGATGCCTTTCAAAGGTGTCTATAGCAGAATAACAAATTGTTAAAAATGGCATTAAAGAAAAACTTTCCAGAACTTAGATAATTTGATCAATCTAAGTGTTAAGATTGCTACCTTAAACTACTTATTATAAATGTATCATAAAAATGTGTTAAACCCAGAACACTTTACAGGTAATATCTAGATCATAACTTCATGGTGGTTTAAACCCAGAACACTTTACAGGTAATATCTAGATCATAACTTCATGGTGGTTTAAACCAAGATCACCTTTACAGGTAATATCTAGATCATAACTTCATGGTGGTTTAAACCCAGAACACTTTACAGGTAATATCTAGATCATAACTTCATGGTGGTTTAAACCCAGAACACCTTTACAGGTAATATCTAGATCATAACTTCATGGTGGTTTAAACCCAGAACACTTTACAGGTAATATCTAGATCATAACTTCATGGTGGTTTAAACCCAGAACACTTTACAGGTAATATCTAGATCATAACTTCATGGTGGTTTAAACCAAGATCACCTTTACAGGTAACATCTAGATCATAACTTCATGGTGGTTTAAACCCAGAACACTTTACAGGTAATATCTAGATCATAACTTCATGGTGGTTTAAACCCAGAACACTTTACAGGTAATATCTAGATCATAACTTCATGGTGGTTTAAACCAAGATCACCTTTACAGGTAATATCTAGATCATAACTTCATGGTGGTTTAAACCCAGAACACTTTACAGGTAATATCTAGATCATAACTTCATGGTGGTTTAAACCCAGAACACCTTTACAGGTAATATCTAGATCATAACTTCATGGTGGTTTAAACCCAGAACACCTTTACAGGTAATATCTAGATCATGATTGTCAGTTTTTCTAACTTATATAAATCACTCTGGTTGGCTCAGATGTAAGCGCACAAGGGGTCTTAGTGTAGGAGGAAACCGCAGTACCAGGGGAAAACTTACGAGGTCGTGCAAGTGACTCTATACCTTCTCACATCCATTCCGGGAATCGAACCTCAGACAGCTAGGTGAAAGGTGAGTGCATTATCACTATGCCCCCAACACCTCTAACTATACTCTAGGTATGCCTCTAACTAGACCCTAAATATGCCTCTAACTAGAGCCCTAAGTATGCTTCTACCTAGACCCTATGTATGCCTCTGACTAGACCCTAGGTATGCCTCTAATTAGACCCAAGGTATGCTTCTAACAAGAGCCTAGGTATGCCTGTGACTAGACCTTAGGTATGCCTCTAATTAGACCCAAGGTATGCCTCTAACTAGACCCTACCCTATGTATGCCCCTAACTAGACCCTAAGTATGCCTTTAATTAGACCCTTGGCATGCCTCTAATTAGACCCTAGGTATGCCTCTATCTAAACCCTAGGTATACCTCTAACTAGAACCTAGGTATGTCTCTAACTAGACCCTAAGTATGCCTTTAATTAGACCCTTGGCATGCCTCTAACTAGAACCTAGGTATGCCTCTATCTAAACCCTAGGTATACCTCTAACTAGAACCTAGGTATGTCTCTAACTAGACCCTAGGTATACCTCTAACAAGATCCTAGGTAAGTCTCTAACTAGACACTAAGTATGGCTCTAACTAGACCCTAGGTAAGACTCTAACCAGACCCTAGGTATGCCTCTAACTAGACCCTAGGTATACCTCTTACTAGACCCTAGTAAAGCCTCTAACTAGACACTAAGTATGGCTCTAACAAGACCCTAAATATGCCTCTAACTAGAGCCCTAAGTATGCTTCTAACTAGACCCTATGTATGCCTTTAACTAGACCCTAGGTATGCCTGTGACTAGACCTTAGGTATGCCTCTAATTAGACCCAAGGTATGCCTCTAACTAGACCCTAGGTATGCTTCTAACTAGACCCTACCCTATGTATGCCTCTAACTAGACCCTAAGTATGCCTTTAATTAGACCCTTGGCATGCCTCTAATTAGACCCTAGGTATGCCTCTATCTAGACCCTAAGTATGCCTCTAACTAGACCCTAGGTAAGCCTCTGATTAGACCTTAAATATGCCTCTTACTAGACCTTAAGTATGCCTCTAACTTGGCACTCGGTATGCCTCTAACTAGACCCTAGGTATGCCTCTAAGTAGGCACTTGGTATGCCTCTAACTAGGCACTAGGTATGCCTCTAACTAGGCACTAGGTATGCCTTTAATTTGGTTTGTTGGATGAAAACATACTGGCTTTGTCTGAGAAGGTTCATCTTCCTCCAAAGTCAAGGTCATCAGGTCTTGTTCACTTGTCATCCAGTACAACTGAGATTCAGTTTGCCATGAGAGTTGTCCCTTGTCATTGATGGAACTCTTCTGTTGTTGTGGAATGAAAACTCCACCTACTACCCTATGGCCAAGATTTTTGTGATGATACAAGTAGTTAGGGTTGGATGGTTTGAACACATACACTGAAAATGTCAGAAAATAATGATAGGATAAAAAGTGTTAGGATTAGACATTATGAAATGGTGCAGAAATCAAAGTCTATAAAATTTAGCAATAACAGGTGACATTTTATATGACGACATATAATCGTGGCGTACTCTAATTTTCCATGTGAATAGCATTAAATGTACGAGTTATGGAGCCCAATAAAAATTTTGATTTTAAGTTCATGTGGTATCATGTTGAAGATATTTTCTTTCATAAAAGTGTGCAAGCATGGAGAAATGCTCAAAGTGAACCTAGACACATTGGAACCTGATTACTTAATCTGTTTTACTTACGACTTTTATTTTCCTCAAACAGTACCATGACATCACTCAGAGGGTCAGCAACCAAATGTGTACTCTTAATCCTTGCAGTCCATGTAACTGAAAACATCAAGAAAAATTTGTAAAAGTTAGAGAGAAAGGGAGAGGTCAAAAGGTCACTGATTTCAAGGTTTTTTAATCATAATTCAATATCACCAAAAAAAAAAAAACATATAGGTAATGATAGGGTAATAGACATAACTATTAAGGAATTAAGACACAAAAACAAAAATTGTTTTACTTACTTGCCCAGGTGGAAAATTCAAAGACTGTCATAGGTTCCAGACTGTCACAGTTTACGATTTCACCTACCTGTACAGATGATAGGGTTCCAGACTGTTACAGTTTACGATTTCATCTACCTGTACAGATGATAGGGTTCCAGACTGTCACAGTTTACGATTTCACCTACCTATACAGATGCTCGGGTTCCAGACTGTTACAGTTTACGATTTCACCTACCTGTACAGATGATAAGGTTCCAAACTGTTACAGTTTACGATTTCACCTACCTGTACAGATGATAGGGTTCCAGACTGTTACAGTTTACGATTTCACCTACCTGTACAGATGATAGGGTTCCCGACTGGAACAGTTTACGATTTCACCTACCTGTACAGATGATAGGGTTCCAGACTGTCACAGTTTACGATTTCACCTACCTGTACAGATGATAGGGTTCCAGACTGTTACAGTTTACGATTTCACCTACCTGTACAGATGATAGGGTTCCAGACTGTTACAGTTTACGATTTCACCTACCTATACAGATGCTCGGGTTCCAGACTGTTACAGTTTACGATTTCACCTACCTGTACAGATGATAGGGTTCCAGACTGGAACAGTTTACAATTTCACCTACCTGTACAGATGATAGGGTTCCAGACTGGAACAGTTTACGATTTCACCTACCTGTACAGATCATAGGGTTCCAGACTGTTACAGTTTACGATTTCACCTACCTGTACAGATGATAGGGTTCCAGACTGTTACAGTTTACGATTTCACCTACCTGTACAGATGCTCGGGTTCCAGACTGTTACAGTTTACGATTTCACCTACCTGTACAGATGATAGGGTTCCAGACTGTTACAGTTTACGATTTCACCTACCTGTACAGATGCTCGGGTTCCAGACTGTTACAGTTTACGATTTCACCTACCTGTACAGATGCTCGGGTTCCAGACTGTTACAGTTTACGATTTCACCTACCTGTACAGATGATAGGGTTCCAGACTGGAACAGTTTACGATTTCACCTACCTGTACAGATGATAGGGTTCCACACTGTTACAGTTTACGATTTCACCTACCTGTACAGATGATAGGGTTCCACACTGTTACAGTTTACGATTTCACCTACCTGTACAGATGATAGGGTTCCAGACTGTTACAGTTTACGATTTCACCTACCTGTACAGATGCTCGGGTTCCAGACTGTTACAGTTTACGATTTCACCTACCTGTACAGATGCTCGGGTTCCAGACTGTTACAGTTTACGATTTCACCTACCTGTACAGATGATAGGGTTCCAGACTGGAACAGTTTACGATTTCACCTACCTGTACAGATGATAGGGTTCCAGACTGTTACAGTTTACGATTTCACCTACCTGTACAGATGATAGGGTTCCACACTGTTACAGTTTACGATTTCACCTACCTATACAGATGCTCGGGTTCCAGACTGTTACAGTTTACGATTTCACCTACCTGTACAGATGATAGGGTTCCTGACTGTTACAGTTTACGATTTCACCTACCTGTACAGATGATAGGGTTCCAGACTGTTACAGTTTACGATTTCACCTACCTGTACAGATGATAGGGTTCCAGACTGTTACAGTTTACGATTTCACCTACCTGTACAGATGATAGGGTTCCAGACTGTTACAGTTTACGATTTCACCTACCTGTACAGATGATAGGGTTCCAGACTGTTACAGTTTACGATTTCACCTACCTGTACAGATGATAGGGTTCCAGACTGTTACAGTTTACGATTTCACCTACCTGTACAGATGATAGGGTTCCAGACTGTTACAGTTTACGATTTCACCTACCTGTACAGATGATAGGGTTCCAGACTGTTACAGTTTACGATTTCACCTACCTGTACAGATGATAGGGTTCCAGACTGTTACAGTTTACGATTTCACCTACCTGTACAGATGATAGGGTTCCAGACTGTTACAGTTTACGATTTCACCTACCTGTACAGATGATAGGGTTCCAGACTGTTACAGTTTACGATTTCACCTACCTGTACAGATGATAGGGTTCCAGACTGTCACAGTTTACGATTTCACCTACCTGTACAGATGATAGGGTTCCAGACTGTCACAGTTTACGATTTCACCTACCTGTACAGATGATAGGGTTCCAGACTGTTACAGTTTACGATTTCACCTACCTGTACAGATGATAGGGTTCCTGTCACAGTTTACTTTCACCTACCTGTACAGATGACAGTGTTTTACGATTTCACCTACCTGTACAGATGATAGGGTTCCAGACTGTTACAGTTTACGATTTCACCTACCTGTACAGATGATAGGGTTCCAGACTGTTACAGTTTACGATTTCACCTACCTGTACAGATGATAGGGTTCCAGACTGTCACAGTTTACGATTTCACCTACCTGTACAGATGATAGGGTTCCAGACTGTCACAGTTTACGATTTCACCTACCTGTACAGATGATAGGGTTCCAGACTGTTACAGTTTACGATTTCACCTACCTGTACAGATGATAGGGTTCCACACTGTCACAGTTTACGATTTCACCTACCTGTACAGATGATAGGGTTCCAGACTGTCACAGTTTACGATTTCACCTACCTGTACAGATGATAGGGTTCCAGACTGTCACAGTTTACGATTTCACCTACCTGTACAGATGCTCGGGTTCCAGACTGTTACAGTTTACGATTTCACCTACCTGTACAGATGATAGGGTTCCAGACTGTCACAGTTTACGATTTCACCTACCTGTACAGATGATAGGGTTCCAGACTGTTACAGTTTACGATTTCACCTACGTGTACAGATGATAGGGTTCCAGACTGTTACAGTTTACGATTTCACCTACCTGTACAGATGCTCGGGTTCCAAACTGGAACAGTTGACTAACTTATCTACTTGTTCATGTGAAAAGGAAGATTATCAATTTTCACTGAACATCTTACCTGCACAGGTAATGAGGTCCCAGACTGTTAAATTGTATTTTGTAGTTGTGACCAAGTAGTGACTGCAAGACTTTTTTCCAAACTCCATAAACCTGTTCAAAGAAGAAAAAAAATTACATAAACCTGTCCTATTATAAACTTTTTCCATTAACCTGTCCAAACAATAAACATTCTCCATAGACCTAGCAAATCAATAGATGTTTTCCATTAACCTGTCCAAACAATAAACATTCTCCATAGACCTAGCAAATCAATAAATGTTTTCCATTAACCTGTCCAAACAATAAACATTCTCCATAGACCTAGCAAATCAATAGATGTTTTCCATTAACCTGTCCAAACAATAAACATTCTCCATAGACCTAGCAAATCAATAAATGTTTTCCATTAACCTGTCCAAACAATAAACATTCGCCATAGACCTAGCAAATCAATAAATGTTTTCCATTAACCTGTCCAAACAATAAACATTCGCCATAGACCTAGCAAATCAATAAATGTTTTCCATTAACCTGTCTAAACAATAAACATTCGCCATAGACCTAGCAAATCAATAAATGTTTTCCATTAACCTGTCCAAACAATAAACATTCGCCATAGACCTAGCAAATCAATAAATGTTTTCCATTAACCTGTCCAAACAATAAACATTCTCCATAGACCTAGCAAATCAATAGATGTTTTCCAAACAATAAAAATTCTATATAAACATGTAAAAACAAGGTATAAAGGTAATTGTTTTGCAATATATCATTTCTTAATGCAATATTTGATATAACATTTGAAGAAAGAATGACTTACTGTATACAGTTTACTGTGAAGGTATTGTAGACCAAGAAAAATCACCATATTCTCAGTTACAACATTTGGTTTAAAAATCACTGATGATAAGAAAGTCTTACTGTATTTGTCCTTGTTGACTGTTAAGTGTTTCCTTCAGTATATTGTTGTCTGGGTCCCACAGCGTGATGTTTGTGTCAAATGCGACTCCAAGCAGAGATCCATCAGCGGTAAAAGCACAGACACCAGCAGGTTGACCGTGGTAAAACCCTACAGACTCACAGCTCCATCTGGTGTTAGCTCCTTCAATATATAAAACAGACTCACAGCTCCATCTGGTGTTAGCCCTAAACTACACATTACAGACTCACAGCTCCATCTGGTGTTAGCCCTAAACTACACATTACAGACTCACAGCTCCATCTGGTGTTGGTCCTAAACTACACATTACAGACTTACATCTCCATCTGGTGTTAGCCCTAAACTACACATTACAGACCCACAGCTCCATCTGGTGTTGGCCCTAAACTACACATTACAGACACACAGCTCCATCTAGTGTTAGCCTTAAATTACACATTACTGACTCACAGCTCCATCTGGTGTTGGCCCTAAACTACACATTACAGACACACAGCTCCATCTAGTGTTAGCCCTAAACTACACATTACAGACTTACAGCTCCACCTGGTGTTAGCCCTAAACTACACATTACAGACTCACAGCTCCACCTGGTGTTAGCCCTAAACTACATATTACAAACTCACAGCTCCATCTGGTGTTAGCCCTAAACTACACATTACAGACTCACAGCTCCACCTGGTGTTAGCCCTAAACTACATATTACAAACTCACAGCTCCATCTGGTGTTAGCCCTAAGTTACACAATGCAGACTCACAGTGCCACCTGGTGTTAGCCCTAAACTACACATTACAGACTCACAGCTCCATCTAGTGTTAGCCCTAAACTACACATTACAGACTCACAGCTCCATCTGGTGTTAGCCCTAAACTACACATTACAAACTCACAGCTCCATCTTGTGTTAGCCCTAAATAACACATTACAGACTTACAGCTCCATCTTGTGTTAGCCCTAAACTACACATTACAGACTCACAGCTCCACCTGGTGTTAGCCCTAAACTACACATTACAGACTCACAGCTCCATCTGGTATTAGCCCTAAGTTACACATTGCAGACTCACAGCGCCACCTGGTTTTAGCCCTAAACTACATATTAACGACTCACAGCTCCATCTGGTGTTCATCCTAAACTATATATGAAACACACCTATTTTGTTTTTGGCTGTGTCACTGCTACTTTCATAATACTCTTACTTCAGTGTTACCTTTCTTTCTTAGATATTTTTTAATTTTTAAACTAAAATAAGATGTTTAAATTTACATTGTTTATTTAAAATAATACAAAACACCTTTATCCCAAACTGGCTATGTAATTTCCCTACAGCTTCCTAGCTTTGAGCTCAAATGTCCTGTTTATCATAAATATTGATTCTCTTTATGGTTAAACAGTTCTAATGCCTACCACACTGAACTTTAATAGTCTTTCAAAACTGATCAAACCGAATCACCGTCCAAATATAAATCAGTCTCATATGATCAATGATAGTGAACTCTTACTGTAGATGTTTGTGTCATCCATGTTGGACCAAATTTTGAATTTGCCATCCAAACTTGTTGTGACCACCATAGGATCTTCATTGATGGTGCCATCAGGGCGGAATCGTAAACACTCGATAACTTTATCATGTGGAACTTCAACTGCAGTGTTCAATGTGTAGCTGAAACAAGACATATTCTTTAAAATCTAGTCATAACTAGAATATATTGTTGTGAAAGAACAGTGAAAATACACATTCCTGTCTGGTCTCTGGCTTAATAATCAACCAGCTCTACCATCTAAACAAAAAAAGTATGCTCTGTCAGCTGAGTGACAGGGACCATATTTAACACTATATACAAGCCACACCAACCCACTCCTATAACACTACTCTCTCGTTTTTCTTGAGATTTTCCTTAATGTCAAACCGAGACTCCTAATACCACAACTCACGGAATTTTATTGAGCGCTAATGTGGAAAAACTGGGAAAATACACTTTCCTGTCCAGTGCCCTGACTAGAAATCAAGCGCGGGTCTCTGGCGTGATTATCGACTGAAGTGACAGAGACTGTATTTAACACTTTACAAGCTACACCAACCTGCTTTTATTACAATGTAATCTTGCCTTGAAAAATAGGTTTTTTTTGAGGCAAATTGAATATGGTATTATTGTCCTAATCACAAAATCATGTTAAAGTCTGTTCAAAATTTAGTAAAAGTTATTTCCTATAGATAGAAGTCCTTCTTAATGTACCTTAAAAGATTGGATCAAGGACACAAGCTTCAATACAAATTTAGAACTTGACAGAATAGAGCAAAAGACTTAATGAAATTGTATCCTACAGTAGTTTCTCAATGTAGGACTCGTCATTAGTGCTTATGGCCTTTACTGTTCAGACCTAAGAGGTCTGTGAGGGAAATCCAAAATGGTTGAAATAATTTCAAAACATGATAGATTGGGAAGTGCATTAAGTCCAGAATTAAATCAATCTTGATGGTTTTTGATATTGTAAAATTTCCAAAGGATGTCAAGTATATGTGTAATCTTAGCTTAGCTGTCACTGAGGATTAACACTTTAAACTTAATATTATCAGGTATGTTGTCCTGTATAAATCCCCCTAGTTACATTCTCAAAGATCTTTAGCAGTGATAGCGAACATTCATTTAACACAAACAGCCTTTCACATACTGCAATCAAGAATTCATAAATCAACTAACTATATTTTAATCATTGTTATCTAAGTTTCTTTTAATTTTTGTTTTCTTTCATCATTTTCAAATTTTCTTATAATAGTTTTCTGTTATCAATTAAAATTTTGTTGTCTTTTTTTTCTCATCATTATCAAATTTCCTTTTAATCATTGCTTTCCTTCATCATATTTAAATTTCCTTTTAATCATTGCTTTCCTTCATCGTATTTAAATTTCCTTTTAATCATTGCTTTCCTTCATCATATTTAAATTTCCTTTTAATCATTGCTTTCCTTCATCTTTTTTAAATTTCCTTTTAATCATTGCTTTCCTTCATCGTATTTAAATTTCCTTTTAATCATTGCTTTCCTTCATCGTATTTAAATTTCCTTTTAATCATTGCTTTCCTTCATCGTATTTAAATTTCCTTTTAATCATTGCTTTCCTTCATCGTATTTAAATTTCCTTTTAATCATTGCTTTCCTTCATCGTATTTAAATTTCCTTTTAATCATTGCTTTCCTTCATCGTATTTAAATTTCCTTTTAATCATTGCTTTCCTTCATCGTATTTAAATTTCCTTTTAATCATTGCTTTCCTTCATCATATTTAAATTTCCTTTTAATCATTGCTTTCCTTCATCATATTTAAATTTCCTTTTAATCATTGCTTTCCTTCATCTTTTTTAAATTTCCATTGCTTTCCTTCATCGTTTTTAAATTTCCTTTTAATCATTGCTTTCCTTCATCGTATTTAAATTTCCTTTTAATCATTGCTTTCCTTCATCGTATTTAAATTTCCTTTTAATCATTGCTTTCCTTCATCGTTTTTAAATTTCCTTTTAATCATTGCTTTCCTTCATCGTATTTAACTTTCCTTTTAATCATTGCTTTCCTTCATCTTTTTTAAATTTCCTTTTAATCATTGCTTTCCTTCATCGTATTTAAATTTCCTTTTAATCATTGCTTTCCTTCATCGTATTTAAATTTCCTTTTAATCATTGCTTTCCTTCATCGTATTTAAATTTCCTTTTAATCATTGCTTTCCTTCATCGTATTTAAATTTCCTTTTAATCATTGCTTTCCTTCATCGTATTTAAATTTCCTTTTAATCATTGCTTTCCTTCATCGTATTTAAATTTCCTTTTAATCATTGCTTTCCTTCATCATATTTAAATTTCCTTTTAATCATTGCTTTCCTTCATCATATTTAAATTTCCTTTTAATCATTGCTTTCCTTCATCTTTTTTAAATTTCCTTTTAATCATTGCTTTCCTTCATCGTTTTTAAATTTCCTTTTAATCATTGCTTTCCTTCATCGTATTTAAATTTCCTTTTAATCATTGCTTTCCTTCATCGTTTTTAAATTTCCTTTTAATCATTGCTTTCCTTCATCGTTTTTAAATTTCCTTTTAATCATTGCTTTCCTTCATCGTATTTAAATTTCCTTTTAATCATTGCTTTCCTTCATCGTATTTAAATTTCCTTTTAATCATTGCTTTCCTTCATCGTATTTAAATTTCCTTTTAATCATTGCTTTCCTTCATCGTATTTAAATTTCCTTTTAATCATTGCTTTCCTTCATCGTTTTTAAATTTCCTTTTAATCATTGCTTTCCTTCATCGTATTTAAATTTCCTTTTAATCATTGCTTTCCTTCATCGTATTTAAATTTCCTATAAATTATTGTTTTTGTTCATTATTTAAGAATTTTAATAATAGATTTTTTATATCAGTTTTAATTATCATTTATTGATCAATATTACATACAAACCTCTGTGTTTCTGTGTTGTACTGCCAAAATTTGAGTCGCATTTCAGGGGTCATGACCCCATTGTTCCAGTACTCCACGGTAACAAGCCATCTCCCTGTACTGTTGAATTCTGCTTTGATGACTTCCGTCACCGTCAATGGACGCTCCATGTTCTCCGATGAAATGTAATTTTGACACACAATATCTAACTAAAAAAAAAAATCCAAGGACCTATCTAAGTAAAGAGACGATATATACATGGGCTGTTTAACATGAACTAGTCATTATTTAGAAATGTTTGTTATTTTTGTGGATGAATATCAGAACATTTTGAAATTTTTGTCTAAATAAATTACAGTAATGATATGTGATACATTTAACAAACCACAGCAGTTCCTATTTTTTGCAAAACTTCAGTGAATTAAACTAACAAAAGGCAATCATTCTATTTATAGTACCATGTGACAGCTAAATTTTGTACATGTCATTTTGCCAACTCAAGGGAAACTCTCAATACAAAACCTGGCAAGCACAGATCACAGAATCAGAGATAAACCCTGACCACATTACAATGATACAGTAAGTGTAAGACCTGATCTTTGTACTAACATTGTACAACTTTGTATGATACAGTGACTGTAAGACCTGATTTTTGTACTAACATTGTACAACTGTGTATGATACAGTGACTGTAAGACCTGATTTTTGTACTAACATTGTACAACTGTGTATGATACAGTGACTGTAAGACCTGATCTTTGTACTTACATTGTACAACTGTGTATGATACAGTGACTGTAAGACCTGATTTTTGTACTAACATTGTACAACTGTGTATGATACAGTAAGTGTAAGACCTGATTTTTGTACTTACATTGTACAACTGTGTATGATACAGTGACTGTAAGACCTGATTTTTGTACTAACATTGTACAACTGTGTATGATACAGTAAGTGTAAGACCTGATTTTTGTACTTACATTGTACAACTGTGTATGATACAGTAAGTGTAAGACCTGATTTTTGTACTTACATTGTACAACTGTGTATGATACAGTAAGTGTAAGACCTGATCTTTGTACTTACATTGTACAACTGTGTATGATACAGTGACTGTAAGACCTGATTTTTGTACTAACATTGTACAACTGTGTATGATACAGTAAGTGTAAGACCTGATTTTTGTACTAACATTGTACAACTTTGTATGATACAGTAAGTGTAAGACTTACATTGTACAACTTTGTATGGTACAGTAAGTGTAAGACCTGATTTTTGTAATAACATTGTACAACTTTGTATGATACAGTAAGTGTAAGACTTACATTGTACAACTGTGTATGATACAGTAAGTGTAAGACCTGATTTTTGTATTTTGTACTAACATTGTACAACTGTGTATGATACAGTAAGTGTAAGACCTGATTTTTGTACTTACATTGTACAACTGTGTATGATACAGTAAGTGTAAGACCTGATTTTTGTACTTACATTGTACAACTGTGTATGATACAGTAAGTGTAAGACCTGATTTTTGTACTTACATTGTACAACTGTGTATGATACAGTAAGTGTAAGACCTGATTTTTGTACTAACATTGTACAACTGTGTATGATACAGTAAGTGTAAGACTTACATTGTACAACTGTGTATGATACAGTAAGTGTAAGACCTGATTTTTGTATTTTGTACTAACATTGTACAACTGTGTATGATACAGTAAGTGTAAGACCTGATTTTTGTACTAACATTGTACAACTGTGTATGATACAGTAAGTGTAAGACTTACATTGTACAACTGTGTATGATACAGTAAGTGTAAGACCTGATTTTTGTATTTTGTACTAACATTATACAACTGTGTATGATACAGTAAGTGTAAGACCTGATTTTTGTACTAACATTGTACAACTGTGTATGATACAGTAAGTGTAAGACACATTGTACAACTGTGTATGATACAGTAAGTGTAAGACCTGATTTTTGTATTTTGTACTAACATTGTACAACTGTGTATGATACAGTAAGTTTAAGACCTGATTTTTGTACTTACATTGTACAACTGTGTATGATACAGTAAGTGTAAGACCTGATTTTTGTACTAACATTGTACAACTGTGTATGATACAGTAAGTGTAAGACCTGATTTTTGTACTAACATTGTACAACTTTGTATGATACAGTAAGTGTAAGACTTACATTGTACAACTGTGTATGATACAGTAAGTGTAAGACCTGATTTTTGTACTAACATTGTACAACTGTGTATGATACAGTAAGTGTAAGACCTGATTTTTGTACTTACATTGTACAACTGTGTATCATTATGGACAGAGTAGAACTGTAGATGTCCTGGTTTGCCATTAAGCACCAGAGCTTTCGACCTGGGGTCAAAGTTCAGTTCAGCTGGATAAAAATGTTGCTGTTTGGTTGACAGTTGGGATTTGGTGAGGCCCTGGTACACTTGGGCCACTGAGAAGCTGCTTGTCAACAGGTGTATCACTGTAAAAGTCACAATTAATAGATAGGATCTGACAGAAGTTTTGTTTCATCTCAAGTGTACCACTAACTGTACAAAGCTTGCCTCACATTGTATTTCATTACAGCATACACTAGTATTAGGATGTCACCAACTGCAATATACTGCACTTTCAACGGAAAACATTCTAATATTTTGAGATTATTTTGCACACAAATAAGTCATATGAATACATCAATTTAAATGCAAAGAAAGACATACTTGTAATTATAGAAGCAAAATTTCTTTTCATTGTTCAATTATATAGGGGTTTACCAATGCCTTTCAACATTTGCACATAAACCTGAACATTAGATTTGACAATGGTAAAATCATTTTCAATTATGAGTAATTTTCCCCAAAATTATGCATTTCAACTCTGAGAAGTAATACCTGATCCCTAAAGAAACCCTGACACCTAATATCAGTATTGTAGTACAAGGAAGCCTCTCGTAACCATAACCTTACTGATGCCAACACCCGGGTGACATAATAAGCTCCCCATCTCTTTAAAAGGCTAGCTAAATTTCAGTTGTTTACAAAATACTGGATGATCTGTGAGTAAACATACCTTTTATTAACCAATCAGATGAGAGTATGACCAGCAGGATAATAGCATAATTCTGAAGACCTTGTATGTTTTAGTATCAAAATCAAGTTTTGACTTTTTGTTAAGTTACCAGCTTTCTCACCCAATTAAAAGGTCCATTACAAACACAAAAAATAGAAATACCCCTGGAGCCCCATAGTTGGACAAACTTCTGATGTACAGTGCAGTATAGAGTTAACTAGCCTGTTTCTTAAGACAGTCTGTACATGAGAAATGCAAAATAAATGTACAAATTGTCTTCTTATATCATAAATGTGAATGTTGAAACTTTGATTAAAATTGTGTAGTCAAGGCAACAGTAAAAGTCACAGAATGTAGCCTGTAGAGCAACAATTTTAAAACTTTAAAAATTTCAATTTAAAGTAACAGTCATTTATAGTACATGCAAGTTTTTAACCTCAGCAGATTGAAACAAGAATTTGTGCAAGAGGTGATGATTCTGAACACTTGTGATAAGTATCATAACAATTAGAAAAGAAATGCAGTGTGTATAGTGTTAATATAAAACTTTAAAAAATTCTGTAAATTTTTATCTATAGCAATTATGGTGTAGCTTTTTAGACGGCAGGTTGAAATGTCTTGCATAGGAGGTGATGTTAGTGAATATGTGTGTAAAGGCTTGTGACAATCCGAAAAAGAATACAGCTCATAGGATGGTGACATGAAAAATTTGATTTGTATTTTTATAGTAACAGTGACCTAGTTTTTAACCAAAGGCGGTTGGAAAACAAACTTGTACAAGAGGTGATTGACATTTGTGAACATGTGTGTGAAGTTCATGACAATAGGATGAGGAATGCAGCTGGAAGAGCAGTGACATTGTTTTGGACACATATAAAATATGTATGTACAGATTGGTAGCATAACAAAGACTGTCTAAGGAGAAGGGCACTGGATAAAATGGTGCAACGAGGCCAGGGTCTGAAGTTGTGGTGTTCTTAGTTAACTAGATAATACAAACTGGATAAAGTGGTGCAATGAGGCCGGGGTCTGAAGTTGTGGTGTTCTTAGTTCACTAGATAATACAAACTGGATAAAGTGGTGCAATGAGGCCGGGGTCTGAAGTTGTGGTGTTCTTAGTTCACTAGATAATACAAACTGGATAAAGTGGTGCAATGAGGCCGGGGTCTGAAGTTGTGGTTTCTTAGTTAACTAGATAATACAAACTGGATAAAGTGGTGCAATGAGGCCGGGGTCTGAAGTTGTGGTGTTCTTAGTTCACTAGATAATACAAACCATTGTCTTGGTGACTTGTGGCATAGTAAAGATTGTCCGGGGACACAGCAACATGACATAGTGGTGCTCCAAGGCGGGGTCTGAAGTTACGGTACTCTGAGTTGTACTGCCATTTGACTAAAACACACTCATGTCCACCACTGAGGAGGTAAGCACCTAGACCAAGGAACAATTCAGAACTGGTTGTAGTATTCATGTTGTTATATTTGTAAACAATATGTCTAGTCAGTAATCAATAGTTTATACCATCACAGTGATTCATCGGAAAATTTTGATATTGAAACAAAAAGATAAGAGAGTTAAGTAAAAACATAATTTTAAGACAACAAATTGAGAGGAAAGATACAATGTAATGAGATTGACATGTCTGTGTTTATAATAAAATTGAAATATATCTCCCATTTCACATTTTGTTGTTTTGTCAATTTTGTCTTACCTTCTGTTGTGAATGCAAGATCCAGTACAGGAAGGGCATGCCAGTGGAGAGTTGTCTTGACTACATGGCTAGGGTCACCAAGGAAATTCCACCTATTAACAACATATTAAGGATATGCAAAACACAATATCTCTCAGGTTTCCAAGGAAATTTAACCTAAAAACAAGGTATCAAAAATACACAAACACAATATCACTTTGGTCTCCAAGGAAACTCTTCTTAAAACAACAACACAATACACAAAACAATATCACTTTGGTCTCCAAGGAAACTTCACCTTAAAACAACATCTTAACACACAAAACACAATATCACTTTGGTCTCCAAGGAAACTCCACCTTATCACACTGTAAGAACTTTACTTCTTTATAGTGAATAAATACTTATGAAACCATGGATTTCTGCAAGGTGCTCTTCTGATTACTGGAGACTTCTCAACATGGTTTTATGTTAAAGATTTTGTCATTATACCCCTTTCTGTTGAGAAATAGCAGTGGTAACAAAATTTTTAATATGGTGGCCATAGCAGCCATCTTGAATGTGGCAAATATCTACATCACACAACATATTAGAGGAAGTCCTGTTTTGGACCTTTATTTATGGAAAGGTAGCAGAAACAAGATTTTCTAGATAGGTTCCACCCTGAATGCAACAAATTCCTCTTTTCAGAACCATTTGTGAACTACAGCAACTCGTTAGTGGCAGTCATGTCTAAACACAATATTCCTTCAGGCAGCTATTAAATATTCAGGTTGGTGACAATCTAAATTGTGGAATTGGCTGTTAATTGGATGCAAAAACATCAATAAATCAAATAAACCCAGCCAATAATCAGTTAGGACCATCTATGGCCCATAGACAACACATTCGTGGAAATTCTGTCTTCACCTCCAATTCAGAAGCAGTAGCAAGATTTCAAGATGGCGTCCATCTTAATCGTGGGATGAGCCTAAATTCATTCAGGACCATTTTTGGCCCACAGACAACACATTTGTGGAAATTCTATTTCAATATGGTATTTTAATCAGGAGAGGTATCAATAGGTTTTTCAAAATGACGGGCATAAATTTTTAATATGACACAGCTTCAAATTTCTTAAAGAACCAGCTAGGGACAAAACACTAATCACTAGTGGAGATTGTGTTTCTGTTTCATCATCTACTTAAGAGAGGCAGCGATAAGAAGATTTTGTTTAAAACTGGCAGACACTGGTTGCTGGACATGAACAAGATATTTGATACACCACATACCATAGGATTATCTTGCCACTCTTAGCTCCTGTGGCAATACAGTAGTCCACAGGATGACAGGCCACACACGTAAGTTCAGGATAGGGAAACCTGGAAACCAGACACCAAATGAAGTGTTAATATACCTATTTATTAGGACCGGCTTACAGCAGGACTGTTTACTCGTTGTTGAGCTGCGATAGTCCAAATGATTGATTGACACTCAATGAGTAAGTTCCAAGTTATCTATGTAATGATTTTCTATACATTGAGCGAGAGTGTGATAAACTTGTCTGTGAGTGTGTTAAACTTGTCTGTGAGTGTGTGTTAAACTTGTCTGTGAGTGTGTGTGTTAAACTTGTCTGTGAGTGTGTGTTAAACTTGTCTGTGAGTGTGTTAAACATGTCTGTGAGTGTGTGTGTTAAACTTGTCTGTGAGTGTGTGTGTTAAACTTGTCTGTGAGTGTGTGTGTTAAACTTGTCTGTGAGTATGTGTTAAACTTGTCTGTGAGTGTGTGCTAAACTTGTCTGTGAGTATGTGTTAAACTTGTCTGTGAGTGTGTGTTAAACTTGTCTGTGAGAGTGTGTTAAACTTGTCTGTGAGTATGTGTTAAACTTGTCTGTGAGTGTGTGTGTTAAACCTGTCTGCAAGTGTGTGTTAAACTTGTCTGTGAGCGTGTGTGTTAAACTTGTCTGTGAGTGTGTGTGTTAAACTTGTCTGTGAGTGTGTTAAACTTGTCTGGGAGTGTGTTAAACTTGTCTGTGAGTGTGTGTGTTAAACCTGTCTGCGAGTGTGTGATAAACATGTCTGTGAGTGTGTGTGTTAAACTTGTCTGGGAGAGAGTGTTAAACTTGTCTGGGAGAGTGTGTTAAACTTGTCTGGGAGAGTGTGTCAAACTTGTCTGTGAGTGTGTGTGTTAAACTTGTCTGTGAGTGTGTGATGTACATGTCTGTGAGTGTGTGTGATGAACATGTCTGTGAGTGTGTGTTACACATGTCTGTGAGTGTGTGTTAAACTTGTCTGTGAGTGTGTGATGTACATGTCTGTGAGTGTGTGATAAACATGTTTGTGAGTGTGTGATTTACATGTCTGTGAGTGTGTTAAACTTGTCTGTGAGTGTGTGTGTTAAACTTGTCTGTGAGTGTGTGATGAAGATGTCTGTGAGTGTGTGATGAACATGTCTGTGAGTGTGTGATAAACATGTCTGTGAGTGTGTGTGTTAAACTTGTCTGGGAGAGAGTGTTAAACTTGTCTGGGAGAGTGTGTTAAACTTGTCTGGGAGAGTGTGTCAAACTTGTCTGTGAGTGTGTGTGATAAACATGTCTGTGAGTGTGTGTGTTAAACTTGTCTGTGAGTGTGTGATGTACATGTCTGTGAGTGTGTGTGATGAACATGTCTGTGAGTGTGTGTTACACATGTCTGTGAGTGTGTGATAAACATGTCTGTAAGTGTGTGATAAACTTGTCTGTAAGTGTGTGATAAACATGTCTGTGAGTATGTGATAAACATGTCTGTGAGTATGTGATAAACATGTCTGTGAGTGTGTGTTACACATGTCTGTGAGTGTGTGATAAACATGTCTGTGAGTGTGTGTTACACATGTCTGTGAGTGTGTGATAAACATGTCTGTAAGTGTGTGATAAACATGTCTGTGAGTGTGTGATAAACATGTCTGTGAGTGTGTGATGAACATGTCTGTGAATGTGTGATGAACATGTCTGTGTATGTGATAAACATGTCTGTGAGTGTGATGAAGATGTCTGTGAGTATGTGATAAACATGTCTGTGAGTATGTGATAAACATGTCTGTGAGTGTGTGTTACACATGTCTGTGAGTGTGTGATAAACATGTCTGTAAGTGTGTGATAAACATGTCTGTAAGTGTGTGATAAACATGTCTGTGAGTATGTGATAAACATGTCTGTGAGTGTGTGATGAAGATGTCTGTGAGTATGTGATGAACATGTCTGTGAGTATGTGATAAACTTGTCTGTGAGTAATGTTCCTATTTAAATTTAGATTTACCTACTTTTTAGTTTTTGATGATTTTGATGTTTTTAATTTGATGTACAGGGTACTGCCATTAACTGCTGCGACAAATTTCCCCTGAAAGTAAATTTTATGAAGCAGTAAGTTATCACAGCTACGGTTAAATCATTAAACAAGAGAACTATATCATATACATAAACAATCTCAAATTTTAAAAGATGATTGGAAATTCTTCCTTTTACATAAGACAGCAGAAATAATAATACAAGTTAATTTGGGTATAAACAAAGGCTGCCAGCAAATATAGACAAAAAACCTACCTCATTACAGACAGCTACCTTATTACTGACAGCTGATATAGACAAAACACCTACCTTATCACTGACAGCTACCTTATCACTGACAGCTAATATAGACAAAACACCTACCTAATCACTGACAGTTAATATAGACAAAACACCTACCTTATCACTGACAGCTACCTTATCACTGACAGCTAATATAGACAAAACACCTACCTAATCACTGACAGTTAATATAGACAAAACACCTACCTTATCACTGACAGCTACCTTATCACTGACAGCTAATATAGACAAAACACCTACCTAATCACTGACAGTTAATATAGACAAAACACCTACCTTATCACTGACAGCTACCTCATCACTGACAGCTAATATAGACAAAACACCTACCTTATTACTGACAGCTAATATAGACAAAACACCTACCTTATTACTGACAGCTAATATAGACAAAACACCTACCTTATTACTGACAGTTAATATAGACAAAACACCTACCTCATTACTGACAGCTACCTTATCACTGACAGCTAATATAGACAAAACACCTACCTCATTACTGACAGCTACCTTATCACTGACAGCTAATATAGACAAAACACCTACCTAATCACTGACAGTTAATATAGACAAAACACCTACCTCATTACTGACAGCTACCTTATCACTGACATCTTATACAGACAAAACACCTACCTAATCACTGACAGCTAATATAGACAAAACACCTACCTCATCACTGACAGCTAATATAGACAAAACACCTACCTTATCACTGACAGCTAATATAGACAAAACACCTACCTCATTACTGACAGCTAATATAGACAAAACACCTACCTCATTACTGACAGCTAATATAGACAAAACACCTACCTCATTACTGACAGTTAATATAGACAAAACACCTACCTCATTACTGACAGCTACCTCATCACTGACAGCTAATATAGACAAAACACCTACCTCATTACTGACAGCTAATATAGACAAAACACCTACCTAATCACTGACAGTTAATATAGACAAAACACCTACCTAATCACTGACAGTTAATATAGACAAAACACCTACCTCATTACTGACAGCTAATATAGACAAAACACCTACCTCATTACTGACAGCTAATATAGACAAAACACCTACCTCATTACTGACAGCTACCTTGTCACTGACAGCTAATATAGACAAAACACCTACCTAATCACTGACAGCTAATATAGACAAAACACCTACCTCATTACTGACAGCTACCTAATCACTGACAGCTAATATAGACAAAACACCTACCTCATCACTGACAGCTAATATAGACAAAACACCTACCTCATTACTGACAGTTAATATAGACAAAACACCTACCTCATTATTGACAGCTAATATAGACAAAACACCTACCTCATTACTGACAGCTACCTTATCACTGACAGTTAATATAGACAAAACACCTACCTCATTACTGACAGCTAATATAGACAAAACACCTACCTCATTACTGACAGCTACCTTATCACTGACAGCTAATATAGACAAAACACCTACCTCATCACTGACAGCTAAATATAGACAAAACACCTACCTCATTACTGACAGCTAATATAGACAAAACACCTACCTCATTACTGACAGCTACCTTATCACTGACAGCTAATATAGACAAAACACCTACCTCATTACTGACAGCTAATATAGACAAAACACCTACCTCATTACTGACAGCTACCTAATCACTGACAGCTAATATAGACAAAACACCTACCTCATTACTGACAGCTACCTCATCACTGACAGCTAATATAGACAAAACACCTACCTCATTACTGACAGCTACCTTATCACTGACAGCTAATATAGACAAAACACCTACCTCATCACTGACAGCTAATATAGACAAAACACCTACCTAATCACTGACAGCTACCTTATCACTGACAGCTAATATAGACAAAACACCTACCTTATTACTGACAGCTAATATAGACAAAACACCTACCTCATTACTGACAGCTACCTTATCACTGACAGCTAATATAGACAAAACACCTACCATATCACTGACAGCTAATATAGACAAAACACCTACCTCATTACTGACAGCTACCTTATCACTGACAGCTAATATAGACAAAACACCTACCTCATTACTGACAGCTACCTTATCACTGACAGCTAATATAGACAAAACACCTACCTCATCACTGACAGCTAATATAGACAAAACACCTACCTTATCACTGACAGCTACCTCCTCACTGACAGCTAATATAGACAAAACACCTACCTCATTACTGACAGCTAATATAGACAAAACACCTACCTTATCACTGACAGCTACCTCCTCACTGACAGCTAAATATAGACAAAACACCTACCTCATCACTGACAGCTAATATAGACAAAACACCTACCTTATCACTGACAGCTAATATAGACCAAACACCTACCTCATTACTGACAGCTAATATAGTCAAAACACCTACCTTGATTATCTGACCTACCTCATCACTGACAGCTAATATAGACAAAACACCTACCTCAATCACTGACAGCTAATATAGACAAAACACCTACCTCATCTGACAGTTAATATAGACAAAACACCTACCTCATTACTGACAGCTACCTTATCACTGACAGCTAATATAGACAAAACACCTACCTCATCACTGACAGCTAATATAGACAAAACACCTACCTCATCACTGACAGCTAATATAGACAAAACACCTACCTCATTATTGACAGCTAATATAGACAAAACACCTACCTCATTACTGACAGCTACTATAGACAAAACACCTACCTCATTGACACTGACAGCTAATAATATAGACAAAACACCTACCTCATTACTGACAGCTACCTTATCACTGACAGCTAATATAGACAAAACACCTACCTCATTACTGACAGCTAATATAGACAAAACACCTACCTCATTACTGACAGCTAATATAGACAAAACACCTACCTCATTACTGACAGCTAATATAGACAAAACACCTACCTCATTACTGACAGCTAATATAGACAAAACACCTACCTCATTACTGAAAGTTAATATAGACAAAACACCTACCTCATTACTGACAGCTAAATATAGACAAAACACCTACCTCATTACTGACAGCTAATATAGACAAAACACCTACCTCATTACTGACAGCTACCTTATCACTGACAGCTTATACAGACAAAACACCTACCTCATCACTGACAGCTAATATAGACAAAACACCTACCTCTTTTCCGAAATGTTAATTTAGTTAATACTTGTTCCTCATTTCTGACAGCTAATATAGACAAAACAGCTACCTTATCACTGACAGCTAATATAGACAAAACACCTACCATATCACTGACAGTTAATGTAGACAAAACACCTACCTCATTACTGACAGCTACCTTATCACTGACATCTTATACAGACAAAACACCTACCTCATCACTGACAGCTAATATAGACAAAACACCTACCTTATCACTGACAGCTACCTTATCACTGACAGCTAATATAGACAAAACACCTACCTTATCACTGACAGCTACCTCCTCACTGACAGCTAATATAGACAAAACACCTACCTCATTACTGACAGCTACCTTATCACTGACAGCTAATATAGACAAAACACCTACCTCATCACTGACAGCTAATATAGACAAAACACCTACCTCATCACTGACAGCTAAATATAGACAAAACACCTACCTTATCACTGACAGCTAATATAGACAAAACACCTACCTCATTACTGACAGCTAATATAGACAAAACACCTACCTAATCACTGACAGCTAATATAGACAAAACACCTACCTCATCACTGACAGCTACCTCATCACTGACAGCTAATATAGACAAAACACCTACCTCATTACTGACAGCTAATATAGACAAAACACCTACCTAATCACTGACAGCTAATATAGACAAAACACCTACCTCATTACTGACAGCTACCTTGTCACTGACAGCTAATATAGACAAAACACCTACCTCATTACTGACAGCTAATATAGACAAAACACCTACCTCATTACTGACAGCTAATATAGACAAAACACCTACCTCATTACTGACAGCTAATATAGACAAAACACCTACCTCATTACTGACAGCTACCTTATCACTGACAGCTAATATAGACAAAACACCTACCTCATTACTGACAGCTAATATAGACAAAACACCTACCTCATTACTGACAGCTACCTAATCACTGACAGCTAATATAGACAAAACACCTACCTCATTACTGACAGCTACCTTGTCACTGACAGCTAATATAGACAAAACACCTACCTCATTACTGACAGCTAATATAGACAAAACACCTACCTCATTACTGACAGCTAATATAGACAAAACACCTACCTCATTACTGACAGCTAATATAGACAAAACACCTACCTCATTACTGACAGCTACCTTGTCACTGACAGCTAATATAGACAAAACACCTACCTTATTACTGACAGCTAATATAGGCAAAACACCTACCTTATCACTGACAGCTATCTCCTCACTGACAGCTAATATAGACAAAACACCTACCTCATTACTGACAGCTAATATAGACAAAACACCTACCTCATTACTGACAGCTACCTTGTCACTGACAGCTAATATGGACAAAACACCTACCTCATTACTGACAGCTAATATAGACAAAACACCTACCTCATTACTGACAGCTAATATAGACAAAACACCTACCTCATTACTGACAGCTAATATAGACAAAACACCTACCTCATTACTGACAGCTAATATAGACAAAACACCTACCTCATTACTGACAGCTACCTTGTCACTGACAGCTAATATAGACAAAACACCTACCTCATTACTGACAGCTACCTAATCACTGACAGCTAATATAGACAAAACACCTACCTCATTACTGACAGCTAATATAGACAAAACACCTACCTCATTACTGACAGCTACCTTGTTACTGACAGCTAATATAGACAAGCTTAAACATCTGCTTACTGGCTATGTTCACTATTGAGCTCTTCCCTCCACCCCCTCTTGGATCAGATGATACTCAAAATATGTCTACGTGACTCATCTTACAGCAGATGGCCAAGCACTGAGGATCATTGAATACCTGAGATTTGATTGAATGACTCATTCTCACTTTACAGCCAATGGTTGAACACTGAGGATCAGGAGGATGCGTGGCTCTCCTTACAGTAGATGGCTGAGAACTGAGGATTGGACGATATCTGAAATATATGTCTACATGACTCACCTTACATCCAATGGCTGAGCACCGGGGGTCAGAGGATATCCGAGGTATGTCTGTTACAGATGTGACAGATTCATCCTTAGTTGATGTCAACAAGTTAGAATGGACTAAATCATCTGTAAGAGCAAACGAGACAAAAAATATTTACAGAATACTCATAGATGGTATCAATGATAATCTCCGATCGCACTTAGTACAGTCATTGGATTATCAATGATGTCACAACTGCAGTATCCATTGTGTCACAATTGTAACTATGTGAAACCTCTGAAGATACTTATGTTTTGCTTATCTCTGTATTTCTTCTATATCTACTGGACACTATGATTTTAACATAATTCAAATAAACAGATATATTATTCAATGTATTTGACAAGAAGCTAATTTTACATATTTTGACATTTGACAGTTAAAGAATTTTCACAGAAAATCAGGAAGTATTTTGTTTGAATCTGTTAGACTGTCACCCTGACAGAAATGTATCTTGATAGGAAAACTTGTTCATTCTTTAGACATTGCTGAAACACTTTGATCTTCCTGACAGAAATGAATTGTGTTTACATGATTTTCCTCTTTTCTGCAGGACTTGTAAATGGTCCTGGTGTCCAGGTCGTATCCAGATCCCATGTAGAGGACCCTGTAATCTTATCCTCTGTAAAACAGACAACAAACACTGGTCATATCAGGTAATGATCATCTCAACATTTTATATTTAAACATTTCAACAACATTTCATCAGTAATATGTACAAAATAGTAATAGAATTCTCATTTTCTTAATAAGAAATGCTGTTTTATAAGTTGAACACTTTATATATACTTTACTGCAGGAGGTTATAGCAACTTCATTTATGAAAAGCTATTTCTTTATCTATTGTGTGTCCATTTGTATGAAAGTTGAGACAGAAAGTAGTTTATAGAAAAAAAGTTTTCCTTGATATTTTTTCCACATTCCAGGTGCATTATTTACCTGACAAAAGCTGTGTATACTCTATATACTCTGATAGAAAAGAACTAGTGTCTTCAGCATAACTTGGTACTTTCATATAAATAATGTTTATAAAGACAAACCAATAAACAGTATTATTGACTAAATGGTTTGTGCAGTCTTCAGAGACAAAGAAAACTTACTTTTAGCAATACACAATCAGCATAGTCCCAAAATATCACTGTTTGATCCAGAGAGCAGGATAATAACTGAAACAGTGTAAAGAAAATTCTGATGACAAGAATCAATCACAACTCCTGATATTCATAGCTGTATGAACAACACACTCATCAGCTAATGATGAAATTTCAGCTATAGATTTGTATAAGGATTTACAGTAATACTTGTAAATTATACCAGAAATAGTGCAGCATCAACAGTCAGTTCAGTGATTTTTGAGACTCTAATATCTTAACTCATGCTTTTTCTATCAGACTTTGGGAAGCCACCATTTCTATTTTATTACTGGACTCATTCAAGTTTTGGAACTGGTGCTCTGGACTCACCAGAGCTACGTGTTCTGGTACTTAACAATAATATACACTCTTATTATTGATGGCAAGCAAATATCAAAAGAATGAAGAACAAATGGATGTGTCAGTATTGGGTCTTCACGCAGAGTGATATAAAGAAAGTGACTTTGAAGTGTGAAGAAAAACAAGTAACTATCTATTGAAAATCAGTCCACTGATTACCTGAAGCTTGTTCTGGGAGTTGATCACCAGTCCTGTAGTTGTACTTGTGTGGCCTCTTAGATCGTGTACACATTCTCCACTTATGGTACTGTAAACCTTCACTAATGCCTCAGCACAGCAGAACAGGAATCTGGACATTGGAGCAAATTTTATATTAAAACATACAAGCAAGTCCCTACATGAGCATCAGACTAGTAAGCCAGAAGTCCTAGGTTCAAATTGTAGAGGAGACACTGAATTAAATATTGACATCTGTTACATTGGCGACCATGTAGGGACTCGGGAATAAAAGTAAGCATTGTCCCACAGACATTGCTGTAACACCTGTAAACTTGAAGGTGAGTTATTTCCTAGAGGGAGAATATGTAACCCTGGTAAATACTAGCTGCAATATACCACATAGCTTAGGAGAACTTCTACTAGTCATCAGACTAGTAAGCCAGGGGTCCAGAGTTCGAATCCTAGCAGAGGCATAGAAATAAATAATAACCTCTATTACATTATAAAGCATACAGATCTTCAACAGGTCCGTTACAATAGACCTATAATAGCTGTATCAACCTATGTCAAATAGCATTTTTATAAGGTATATATCCAGAATATCTCAGGCCTTTGTGGCTACATAGGATGATTGTACTAGACCTGAACGTAAGTAAATATGATATATATATATATATATATATAAATGCGACACCAGAACATTTGATTAACCCAAACCACATGCACCAGCTTGCATATTGTATGTAACTGGGTAATTATAATATGGTGTAGGTTGTGTTTACTTATATTGCACAACACCTCTTTAATATATAAACAAATGATAATTATGATAAGACTGGTACAAGTGCGTGTGGTCAAAACGAAACCAAAACGGTACGTGGCGTTGTTGTCTGATATATCAGTGTCAAATGATTGTGAATTATATCTTTAGAAAATATGTGTAGCTTACTTTGAGTCATGTGAAAACAGCGGCTTTGAATGGACCAGATTTGCGCCAGCACGCACAGAAGCAACAATATTCTTCTCGTCCACGTTTTCTGTAGACGCAGACATCTTGGAAAGTGACGTCATAACCAAAGGCAATGATAATTTCTGAATTTCTGGAAACCGGCGAAGAAATCCGGAAACAACCATGCTTTAGAATACTGAACTCGAGATCAGAGAACATGATATTTTGTGATATTTTGTTATCAGTATATTTTTACTATGCTATTTCTTTTTTTAAAAAGTATTGATGTTATCAGTTGTGAACTTATTATTTATTTTCTGTGTAATATCCTGCAGAGACGTATATATCGTGTTATATCTGTCTTGGTATCCTGTATATCAAAACACAATTCCTTTGTTGCCATGATAACGCAGTATACTAAAAACCATATGTCATCAATTCAAGACGTATTAACTTTTTAAGCTAATCTGAAATTATATATGTGAATAAATTAACCAGTCCTCTGGTTGTTTATGCCTTTGCAGCTCTGTCATATGAGGACAATGTTTTAGTTTGCTTGCATGTTTTAGATGATTACACGACCTTACAATAACCAGGGTTATATGATGATGTAGTCCGCTGATGATTGCACCACTGGCGGTTGTTTTTATAGTGCTATCACATTGAAAAGCTGCAACACGGACACGGTGTCATGGCATCCTACCATGTAGAATTATACTGACAACGGATTAACCAGGCCTGTTTGATCACACCTAATACTGAATTACACGGAAATGCGAAAAGAATCATTTCAGTGACTTTTGTATGTCACAAAGCTTTAAGACAGAACACTTAGCCATACCCAGTCTGACACTCTAAGCAGGGACGTATAACACTGTATTATACGTCCCTGCTCTAGGGCTTCTTGTCACATCTGGCACTTTGTCAACAAAATACTACGTGTGTATGTATTCAGTATGTATCTGATACATCTACAGGTTACCAACATATAGATTCATGTTTAGTAGGAAATATAAATAAATAACTATCCCAACCCCCAAACCCTTCCCCCTACCCACCCAACTTATCTACCATACTATCTCAACCACGACAGAACCTCACGACGTACACACAGATGTGCGATATTTAGATACCACAACTGTACTGTACTTATTCTATCTCGCAACAAGTTATTTACACTTCGCGTGACGAATCTTACCGTGCAGCGAGGAAACCCGAGTACCTAGGGAAACCCCACTTGGTCGAGTAGGTGACCCTTACCCATTCAACGTCCGTTCAGGAATCATTCAAAATTTAGCCTATTTCAAATCCCAAGTTTATCCAGACAATACCGTATTACTACACAGTTCATGCCTTGCTAGTGTTCGGTTTTATATTCACAATGATATCTCTTGAAGCAATTAATTTCTAGGTACGTTGTAGAGGTTGTAGTACCTTAACGGTAACACAGTTTAGGCAACGTCACCTCCACGGTTTGTAGATGGATATTTACTGATACAACATCCATCCTATGAAAATAGCGCGCAATATTGTCACGCTATCTTCCCCGCGCAACAATTATGACGTCACAAGATCGTTGGCGACCATTGCAAAAATGACGTCTTTCAAGAAGCGACGCGATGGCATAACTATTTTTTGCTTGTGTTTTACATTTTGTTTATTCATGCCATCTGCCGAATCCATCAATTTGATCAATGATTTCTATACCCAGAACGGTCAATTTGGAGCGTGTTCGGAGAGTATTACAGGAGAGAAAAGTGCCTTTTTGCGATCTCACGTCGGTGCCTACCAGTTTGGGAGTTTGATCGGATACCGCGCCAATGAGGACTGTGCAGTTGGATTTGACGCCGGCGAAGGTACTCTTGTATTGATACACGTATAAATTAAATTTTGAAGAGGTAATGAACTATCAAGAATAATTCGTGAACAATTTGACTGGTGCAAGAAGTGACCAATTTGAGGCCAATTGTACATGTGTATCATTACCTTATAGATCAGACAATACAAATGAGCATGTACATTTCTGCCTACTGGATTAATCTATACTATTAATCTTAAAATAACCTAGTTTCCATGCATTTATCAGTTATCTTATGTTATAATGGAATGCACAACGCAACACAGGAACAGTGATAAAATATATAGGCCTACATAAATATGCATGTAAGTACGGATAAGTCTAAAAATAACACACTTTTTGTTGAAGTCAATTTCCAACATTTTACACCTTGGAAATTTCTGTTTGGTTTCCCTTGAATATCTACAAGCTAAAAGTTTTTCTACCTCTGCAACATCTACAAAAGCAGTCAGAATTGTTCTTTTTATCGAGTCTCTGTTAAAAAAACCAAAGAACATATATGGAAGCGGGAGGTGGAATAAAACTTCAGTGACCGGTTTCATAGGTCTCGTATGAAAAGGAAACTCGTTTAAGACAATCTATTATCAAAAGGTGAAATTAAGTGCCCAGAGAACCTGATGCACTATAGAGTCTCCTAGTCAGTGTACATCAACTGTGCATGACATTGATTTCAATAAAACCTCTGTATGACATTCATATTGCTTATGGATGCCAAGCGAACACAGAATTCTATCTCATTACATAGCCTCTTTGAATTGTATACATTCATGCAATGACTTTATTACTAATACAATATTTGAATTTGCTATATTCTCACTCTGTCCCTTTTCTTTGTTGTCGTCACAATGCATATGGCGTCACGAAGTTATCACATCACACTGATGGAAACAAAGGGGACCTTCAGCCAATCAAATCTCCACTATGTCATACTACATGTACGTCACAACAGAAGTATATATAATGGGCATTATTATAGCTGAAAACAGACAGTTGTCTAATGAAGAGAAATCTCACGAGATGTAAAATCAAACCCAGGTCCCAAACTCGGGATGGATATTGACCTCATCTCAAGCTATCATTTGTTGGTCAGTATCATAAAGAGGCGATTGTTTAAACCAAACAGAGAAATGACACAAAGTTTCCGTAGAATGAGTAGATGTGTCCGTGGTTTCATTGTCCAGCCTTTGGACGAAAGATATCTTCATTGACGTCAACATAAACACAGTTATACGACATTGGATTTTCGAACTAGAACATCAAAATACAGCAGGGTATACTATTTAGTTTTATTCTTTTACAGAAACATTTCTTTACTTACATTTGACAAAAAGATTTTTTTCTATCTTTTGAATATGAGAAAGTTTAACTTCTCACTAGAAGAGATTATCATTCGCTTACATAATGCAAAGCGGGGTTTCCTTCCGGCTAATGTATCCCCCTTCTCCCAAATCCAAAACGCCATATTAAACAACTGCTACAAATGTTGCTCCTTTTGTTCCAAGGCAAACAAGTTTTGGTCCAGTTTTTGCGATTCAGCCTCCAGGAACCGACTAACTCCGTATGTGATGACTATGTGATGATCGACGAGCTAGGGCGGACTGATAACGCTACGTACTGTGGGAGTCAAGGTAGGGTGGTTGGAAAAACACCTGTATTATTTCGCAAAGAGAGGCAGGCGATATATGGTTTATCATTGTCATTTTGTTACTTGTTGACTGTATTAGAGTGTTATTGATCAGCTGATTTAGTATTGACCCAGTCTGTAAGTCATCGGTCGATCATATTAGGCTACCTTGGGGACCAGTATTGTACAAAACCGACTAGAAAAAATCTACTTGAGAAAGCTATAACAATGATGAGAAGTAAATAGTTAAATCGCCTTCGTTTGAACTTTGAATATTAAGTAATAAAAACACACCTTTCCAAATGTCAGGAACCCGTTCTTGGAAAGTACCGAGGACAGAAACATAGGGAGGATTGAATTCCCTATTCAAGGTATCAATTTTTGAACATTAGACATAACCATAAAAATCAAATGTGCCCCTCATTTAGCTGGCAATTTCGTTTTCATATAAAGCTTTATTTGCCAGATATCATCAGAATAAATAAGAAAGACATTTACAATTTACATTTCAATATGTCGATAGTGGGTTGTCTTTTAACACCAACAAATGTCATGACCATGTCGATTGTATACCAAGACAATCAGGTTATGACCCATTGTTCAACACTCTCGCTCATCTATGAGCCGAATTGACTACAGTTTATATTGTTCTCATTTGGTGTATTTCTTGTCTATAATCTGTTTACCATCTCGTCACACAATTTTCGACCTTAGTGTACATAGGATTATAATACAGCAGAAAACGTTGGTCGATTCCGTCCCACCTGTACGCTCCATACTGGTCATTTGTCTGAAGAAGGTGACCATGTAGTGATCGGAACGTCACACTCTAATTTTCTACTGGTTGTGTTATAAGATGAAGGAGACTTTGTAGTTATCGGAACGACACACTAATTTTCTAGTGGTTGTGTTATAAGATGAAGGTGACCTTGTAGTTATCGGAACGTCACACTCTAATTTTCTGCTGGTTGTGTTTTAAGATTAAGGTGACCGTGTAGTCGCCATGATTTTACGTAAGAATTTATAGCCCCGACCAACACTGCGAGATGATGGCGGTGTTGGATAACATCATCGCTTTTGCCACTGTTACGGTTTATTTTATTTTTTTTTTTTTTTGAAAACTATAACTATAAGTAGTGAGATGTTAAACGATGGTCGCAGGACAGACAATACTGGAAGTGCGACACCGCACGAAGAGGATTAATATGAAGGTTCGCTATAAGTTGACATATTATAAACAGTGATGATTATACGTAGTATACTGAATGTACCATGAATACAGATGATACGACGGAGCACGACAGCTTTACAAATATATAAATAGGTGTTAAAAATATTTAGATACATGTACATTTGTATGTATTTCAGTTTTCTAGATATGTTTCCTGTATCTCCATTAGCATGTTTCTACTTGACAGTCATATCTCCTTACGTATCTGATGCGGAAAACATCACCATAATCTTCTACAGTGACTCAACCACTGAGCTAAGCGGATTCAAGATCCTGTTGACGTCATTCCGAACGGCTGCAGGTGCTTGCCAACCAGGGGAATTCAAATGTGACGTCACTAGGTACTTTAACATCGAAGAATCAAAAAGGCATACACAACCATTTATCATGCAGTCTATAGGTTTAATGGATGCTCTTTTGGTTTATTTTTTACGTTGATAAAACATATTTTGTCCCGGGGACTTTTTGGTCGTTAGTTTTGTTTCCCACTCACATTAATATCAGAACAGTGTTTACCCTTAGGTGTACCCAAATAGTATACGTTTCTGATTCATTTTATTTCGAGATATTTTGAAATTTTCACAAACTGTCATTTTCCAATGCTGTACGAATATTGCCACCCAGTGTCAAGTGTTAACAAAATCTGCGATACCGTGAAGGATATATTTTATGAATACTTTCTAAAGATGATCGCTTTCCCTTTCTTGTCGGGGGAAACTGACCTTGTTGTTGTTTGTTTTAATGACTGAGACACAACACCTTCATTTTGTAGGTGTATCGACAATTCATTAAAGTGTGACGGAGTGACCCACTGTGTCGACGGTACTGACGAGGAAAACCAACAAGTGTGTTCAACCGAGATCATTTAATACCTGTAACAGATCATTTAATACGTGTACCCGATCATTTAATATGTGTACCCGGTCATTTAATACATGTAACATATCATTTAATATGTGTACCAGGTCATTTAATACATGTAACAGATCATTTAATACATGTAACAGATCATTTAATATGTGTACCCGATCATTTAATACGTGTACCCGATCATTTAATACCTGTAACGTATCATTTAATATGTGTACCCGATCATTTGATATGTGTACCCGGTCATTTAATATGTGTACCCGATCATTTAATACGTGTAACATATAATTTGATATGTGTACCCGATCATTTAATATGTGTACCCGGTCATTTAATATGTGTAACATATAATTTAATACATGTAGCAGATCATTTATACGTGTACCCGGTCATTTAATACATGTAACATATCATTTAATATGTGTACCAGGTCATTTAATTTGTGTACCCGGTCATTTAATACCTGTAACGTATCATTTAATATGTGTACCCGATCATTTGATATGTGTACCCGGTCATTTAATATGTGTACCCGGTCATTTAATACATGTAACATATCATTTAATATGTGTACCCGATCATTTAATACATGTAACATATCATTTAATACATGTAGCAGATCATTAATACGTGTACCCGATCATTTAATACCTGTAACATATAATTTAATATGTGTACCCGGTCATTTAATACATGTAACATATCATTTAATATGTGTACCAGGTCATTTAATACATGTAACATATCATTTAATACATGTAGCAGATCATTAATACGTGTACCCGATCATTTGATACCTGTAACATATAATTTAATATGTGTACCCGGTCATTTAATACATGTAACATATCATTTAATATGTGTACCAGGTCATTTAATACATGTAACATATCATTTAATATGTGTACCAGGTCATTTAATATGTGTACCCGGTCATTTAATATGTGTACCCGGTCATTTAATACATGTAACATATAATTTAATATGTGTACCCGGTCATTTAATACCTGTAACATATCATTTAATATGTGTACCCGATCATTTAATACCTGTAACATAAAATTTAATATGTGTACCCGGTCATTTAATATGTGTACCCGGTCATTTAATATGTGTACCCGGTCATTTAATATGTGTACCAGGTCATTTAATATGTGTACCCGGTCATTTAATACATGTAACATATAATTTAATATGTGTACCCGGTCATTTAATACATGTAACATATCATTTAATATGTGTACCAGGTCATTTAATACATGTAACAGATCGTTTAATACATGTAACATATCATTTAATACGTGTACCCGATCATTTAATATGTGTACCCGATCATTTAATACATGTAACAGATCGTTTAATACGTGTAACAGATCATTTAATACATGTAACATATCATTTAATATGTGTACCCGATCATTTAATATGTGTACCCGGTCATTTAATACATGTAACATAAAATTTAATATGTGTACCCGATCATTTAATATGTGTAGCCGATCATTTAATATGTGTACCCGGTCATTTAATACATGTAACATATCATTTAATACATGTAGCAGATCATTAATACGTGTACCCGATCATTTAATACATGTAACATATGATTTAATATGTGTACCCGGTCATTTAATACATGTAACATATCATTTAATATGTGTACCAGGTCATCTAATATGTGTACCTGGTCATTTAATACATGTAACATATAATTTAATATGTGTACCCGGTCATTTAATACATGTAACATATCATTTAATATGTGTACCAGGTCATTTAATACATGTAACAGATCATTTAATACATGTAGCAGATCATTTAATATGTGTACCCGATCATTTAATACATGTAACATATAATTTAATATGTGTACCCGGTCATTTAATACATGTAACATATCATTTAATATGTGTACCAGGTCATTTAATACATGTAACAGATCATTTAATACGTGTAACCGATCATTTAATATGTGTACCAGGTCATTTAATACATGTAACAGATCATTTAATACATGTAGCAGATCATTTAATACGTGTACCCTATCATTTAATATGTGTAACATATAATTTAATATGTGTACCCGATCATTTAATATGTGTAGCCGATCATTTAATATGTGTACCCGATCAATTATTACGTGTACCCGGTCATTTAATACCTGTAACATATCATTTAATATGTGTACCCGATCATTTGATATGTGTACCCGGTCATTTAATATGTGTACCCGGTCATTTAATACATGTAACATATCATTTAATATGTGTACCCGATCATTTAATACATGTAACATATCATTTAATACATGTAGCAGATCATTAATACGTGTACCCGATCATTTAATACCTGTAACATATAATTTAATATGTGTACCCGGTCATTTAATACATGTAACATATCATTTAATATGTGTACCAGGTCATTTAATACATGTAACATATCATTTAATACATGTAGCAGATCATTAATACGTGTACCCGATCATTTGATACCTGTAACATATAATTTAATATGTGTACCCGGTCATTTAATACATGTAACATATCATTTAATATGTGTACCAGGTCATTTAATACATGTAACATATCATTTAATATGTGTACCAGGTCATTTAATATGTGTACCCGGTCATTTAATATGTGTACCCGGTCATTTAATACATGTAACATATAATTTAATATGTGTACCCGGTCATTTAATACCTGTAACATATCATTTAATATGTGTACCCGATCATTTAATACCTGTAACATAAAATTTAATATGTGTACCCGGTCATTTAATATGTGTACCCGGTCATTTAATATGTGTACCCGGTCATTTAATATGTGTACCAGGTCATTTAATATGTGTACCCGGTCATTTAATACATGTAACATATAATTTAATATGTGTACCCGGTCATTTAATACATGTAACATATCATTTAATATGTGTACCAGGTCATTTAATACATGTAACAGATCGTTTAATACATGTAACATATCATTTAATACGTGTACCCGATCATTTAATATGTGTACCCGATCATTTAATACATGTAACAGATCGTTTAATACGTGTAACAGATCATTTAATACATGTAACATATCATTTAATATGTGTACCCGATCATTTAATATGTGTACCCGGTCATTTAATACATGTAACATAAAATTTAATATGTGTACCCGATCATTTAATATGTGTAGCCGATCATTTAATATGTGTACCCGGTCATTTAATACATGTAACATATCATTTAATACATGTAGCAGATCATTAATACGTGTACCCGATCATTTAATACATGTAACATATGATTTAATATGTGTACCCGGTCATTTAATACATGTAACATATCATTTAATATGTGTACCAGGTCATCTAATATGTGTACCTGGTCATTTAATACATGTAACATATAATTTAATATGTGTACCCGGTCATTTAATACATGTAACATATCATTTAATATGTGTACCAGGTCATTTAATACATGTAACAGATCATTTAATACATGTAGCAGATCATTTAATATGTGTACCCGATCATTTAATACATGTAACATATAATTTAATATGTGTACCCGGTCATTTAATACATGTAACATATCATTTAATATGTGTACCAGGTCATTTAATACATGTAACAGATCATTTAATACGTGTAACCGATCATTTAATATGTGTACCAGGTCATTTAATACATGTAACAGATCATTTAATACATGTAGCAGATCATTTAATACGTGTACCCTATCATTTAATATGTGTAACATATAATTTAATATGTGTACCCGATCATTTAATATGTGTAGCCGATCATTTAATATGTGTACCCGATCAATTATTACGTGTACCCGGTCATTTAATACCTGTAACATATCATTTAATACATGTAGCAGATCATTTAATACGTGTACCCTATCATTTAATATGTGTACCCGATCATTTAATATGTGTACCCGGTCATTTAATACATGTAACATATCATTTAATACATGTAGCAGATCATTTAATACGTGTACCCTATCATTTAATATGTGTACCCGATCATTTAATATGTGTACCCGATCATTTAATATGTGTACCCGGTCATTTAATACATGTAACATATCATTTAATACATGTAACATATCATTTAATATGTGTACCCGGTCATTTAATACATGTAGCAGATCATTTAATATGTGTACCCGGTCATTTAATACATGTAACATATAATTTAATATGTGTACCCGGTCATTTAATACATGTAACATATCATTTAATATGTGTAGCAGATCATTTAATATGTGTACCAGGTCATTTAATATGTGTACCCGGTCATTTAATATGTGTACCCGGTCATTTAATACATGTAACATATAATTTAATATGTGTACCCGGTCATTTAATACCTGTAACATATCATTTAATATGTGTACCCGATCATTTAATACCTGTAACATAAAATTTAATATGTGTACCCGGTCATTTAATATGTGTACCCGGTCATTTAATATGTGTACCCGGTCATTTAATATGTGTACCAGGTCATTTAATATGTGTACCCGGTCATTTAATACATGTAACATATAATTTAATATGTGTACCCGGTCATTTAATACATGTAACATATCATTTAATATGTGTACCAGGTCATTTAATACATGTAACAGATCGTTTAATACATGTAACATATCATTTAATACGTGTACCCGATCATTTAATATGTGTACCCGATCATTTAATACATGTAACAGATCGTTTAATACGTGTAACAGATCATTTAATACATGTAACATATCATTTAATATGTGTACCCGATCATTTAATATGTGTACCCGGTCATTTAATACATGTAACATAAAATTTAATATGTGTACCCGATCATTTAATATGTGTAGCCGATCATTTAATATGTGTACCCGGTCATTTAATACATGTAACATATCATTTAATACATGTAGCAGATCATTAATACGTGTACCCGATCATTTAATACATGTAACATATGATTTAATATGTGTACCCGGTCATTTAATACATGTAACATATCATTTAATATGTGTACCAGGTCATCTAATATGTGTACCTGGTCATTTAATACATGTAACATATAATTTAATATGTGTACCCGGTCATTTAATACATGTAACATATCATTTAATATGTGTACCAGGTCATTTAATACATGTAACAGATCATTTAATACATGTAGCAGATCATTTACTACGTGTACCCTCTCATTTTATATGTGTTCAGGATCATCTAATATGTGTACCCGGTCATTTAATACATGTAACATATCATTTAATATGTGTACCAGGTCATTTAATACATGTAACAGATCATTTAATACGTGTAACCGATCATTTAATATGTGTACCCGGTCATTTAATATGTGTAACATATAATTTAATACATGTAGCAGATCATTTAATACGTGTACCCTATCATTTAATATGTGTAACATATAATTTAATATGTGTACCCGATCATTTAATATGTGTAGCCGATCATTTAATATGTGTACCCGATCAATTATTACGTGTACCCGGTCATTTAATACCTGTAACATATCATTTAATACATGTAGCAGATCATTTAATACGTGTACCCTATCATTTAATATGTGTACCCGATCATTTAATATGTGTACCCGGTCATTTAATACATGTAACATATCATTTAATACATGTAGCAGATCATTTAATACGTGTACCCTATCATTTAATATGTGTACCCGATCATTTAATATGTGTACCCGATCATTTAATATGTGTACCCGGTCATTTAATACATGTAACATATCATTTAATACATGTAACATATCATTTAATATGTGTACCCGGTCATTTAATACATGTAGCAGATCATTTAATATGTGTACCCGGTCATTTAATACATGTAACATATAATTTAATATGTGTACCCGGTCATTTAATACATGTAACATATCATTTAATATGTGTAGCAGATCATTTAATATGTGTACCCGGTCATTTAATGTGTACCTGGTCATTTAATATGTGTACCCGATCATTTAATATGTGTACCCGATCATTTAATACATGTAACATATAATTTAATATGTGTACCCGATCATTTAATATGTGTACCCGGTCATTTAATACATGTAACATATAATTTAATATGTGTACCCGATCATTTGATATGTGTACCCGGTCATTTAATATGTGCACCCGGTCATTTAATACATGTTACATATAATTTAATATGTGTACCCGATCATTTGATATGTGTACCCGGTCATTTAATATGTGTACCCGGTCATTTAATACATGTAACATATAATTTGATATGTGTTCCCGATCTTTTAATTTGTGTAGCAGATCAATTAATATGTGTACCCGATTATTTAATGCATGTTCCCAATCATTTGATACGCATACTTTATCAGTAAATGCGCTATCCCGTCATTCGATACGTGTACCAAATCATTTAATGTGTGTATCTGGTATATTTTTTCGTCGTCCTTGTTTGTTTACTGTAATAACACTGTAACCTACATCTTTTCTAGGCTGGTTGTACTTGGTTTGATCATGTCCTTGGCGCAGTGCTGAGTCTCGGAGAACATACTATTCTCGCTATCGGCATTTTGGCGGGAACTGCAATAGTCGCTACAATTACCGCGGTAGTTGTGTACCACGTGGTCATCAAAAAGAAGAACAGAGTGATACCCATTCAACCAACAACCAAAGCGAAAACCACCTCGGTCGCCACCACCTCTGACCACTCGAAATCTAGCAAGACGGCCTCGTCTTCTAAATCATCTGACAAACACAAAAAAGCTACGGGATCGTCATCTAAAAAGGCGACAACGAAAAAAGCCAAGAAAGTAGACCAAGTGGAGGATGACGTTGACTGGTAGACTAATCAGGGGTGTTTCAGATAATAAATCCCATTTCTATATATCTGACGTTGTTTGTGTTATTATTTCAACATTAGGTGTAAACTACCTCGCTATAAAGATCACATCGGGTCCGGAAAAAGAGGTCTTAATAGCAGGGGGGGGGGGTTTAATAGCAAGTGGTCTTAATAGCAGGGTGGTCTTAATAGCAGGGTGATCTTTATAGCAGGGATGTCTTAATAGCAGGATGATCTTTATAGCAGGGTTGTCTTAATAGCAGGATGGTCTTAATAGCAGGGTTGCTTTAATAGCGGGGTGATCTTAATAGCATGTTGGTCTTAATAGTGTATACACAGTTATTGAATTATGTTGGTCTGACAATGATAAACACATATTAGTTACAGCTAGGAAGCCATTTTGATACCTAATAGCTTATTGATCTGATACCTGCCAGGTGTAGATGGTTGGATACACACCGGGTAACTTTATCAGTTTTTTTGACTGGTCAGAAGTCTTATCTATGAGGTGAACTTCAATTCAAAATTTATCTTTGGGACTTAAAACTGGTCTTAATTGTGAAGTTGTCTTAATAGTAACATGATCTTAACAGTGTAGTTTATAATGCAAAAACATGAAGAAAATTTTTTTCGGGTACTGAAATGAAGTGGTCTTAATTTCGAGGTAGTCTTAAGCGAGGTTTTACTGCGGTGGGATGAAGTATGTTAGTTAACCTGATAGAAGCTGGAATGTTACTCAATGAAAATTCATCATAAGTACCTTATTGTAATTTGAATATATAGCCACATCGTTAATGGTCCCCGAATATCCGAGCAGTGACGCGGATATCATTATTCTAGCTGAAAACATTCACGCGTAAAATTCGTGACACTTTTTATCATTATATTCATGAAAGAGCATGACTAACGGGAAGTAATTTTGTAGAATAAAAAATATATTCTACTTTAGTTACTAATACAGAAAACAAAACCTGTTCATATGTTTATATTCTTTACCATATCAATACAACTTGCAACGGTAATTTGCTTATGTAATTACAACAAAAATCGAGTTGACCATAAATAAAGGGGGCTATTGTAACATTATCTAAAGGTGATGTGATCTAAGTGATACAGATAATGATCCAGTCTGTGTTACTGTACTCCGTTACTGTACGGTCTGTAGGCTGTCGGGGTCAAACCCGAACACAACTCTGCCTAGGACAACATGTTTACATAGGAGGTCAGTTGTGGTGATAGTGAGTTAGTTTAAACATATTTTATTGCCAAAATAAATTTGAACAATGGAATTGGGCACAAGTTATTACAACTTCCATCATACATTTTCAAATACATGCTTATAAAGATATAGGCTTAAACATAAATTATACATATTAAGCATTCACACACAGACATAAATACATCATTGTGTAAGAATCTTTAAAACCTTTTGCTGGATTTAATGAAATTTTGCACATGAGTAAAGACAGAATAGTTTAGGTCCTCAGAAAGATCAATACTACCAAACAAAAGAAGCTCTAAATTCAAATCTACTTCTAATTCAGCCAGATTATAAAACAAACTGCGTCTTTCATTTCTGAAAGTTTGACACTCAAAGAAGAAATGATAGGCATTCTCACAAGGATAGCGAGTTATAGTCTGGTGCAGAATTGTTGTACAGGTAAATCAGATAATCAAGTTCTGATAACTGTTCAGAAAAATGTTAATAACTATAAAATAAAGCAATCAAATATAAAACTGTTCCAATCCCAAGCTGTTCAGTGGGAAATGTATTATCATATTTCAATCTGCACTTTGAAGCATCAATTTCTCATTGCTTGATTTATTACTTAACTTTTGTCACACATATATTAGTTAATCTTGAACCTTTGTCAGTTTAGCGTATATTATAATAACTGTTGTCATATTTATTAGCTAATCTTTTCAGCTTAGTGTTAGAGTTGGTCTTGTCATCTCTACATGGACAGTACGCGTTCTTTATCCAACAATTTTCAATGCACATAAAACATCTTCACTATTAAAGCCAAAAAATCCCGGTTGATGTCAGAATAATATGTTTTCTAGAAAAACCAAAGCGGTCTTTGTATTATTTTCCTGATAGAGACAGTATCATACCGTAACACTGAAGTGACTACTCTTACACTCCCCACTCAGCTAGCAAATATTACAGAGAACTTAGGATATGAACAGGTATAAATGACTTTGTCTGGAGTGAAGAAATTCATCCTTCGTCTCTATGTTAAATCACAATTAAATCGCAGCGATTTAACTGAATGTGTACGTTCCATCTTGAAGAGAGGTAAAGACAGGAAAAATAATGTCCAAAGCGATGTACCAGGGTGACGATAGCAGCAATACCAGGGAGTCAGCTCCAGTGATGAATCGGCTCTGACTATCTTTACTCGCACAAGGCACACGACACGAAAGTCATAATGGACCTTACACCAATTGTATGGACAACGACATCTCAACAAAATCTTGATTCAAACAGAAAGACTGAATGTTCCAGAAGGGTAAGCGTCTTTGGCTTCATCGACGACACTCACAATGTAAATCTTGGTCAATTCAAGCAAGTAATGCCATATTAACTGAACAAAATGAGAAAAGGTTTATCAGAGCGGAACCACCATGTAGGTACACCAACGAGTGAACTTTAAACACGTCAAGCTTCCTTTCACACAAAGAAATACATATTTTCTATAAAGATCATTCAGATCATTATGACGATCGTATAACAACCCCCACTAGTCTATATCAACCTGTATCTTTGGAATTGTGAATTTATGTAAGGGTCGACACAAACAATTAAACAGGGATTGTATAAAAACAAGACGAGAGTGTTCTGAAGAAATCGCAAGAGATCTTCAAACTGGTGAAGGTATGTAAAATTGGTTGTTTTTGTACATATTTTCGGCGTCGGAACATTGTTTATCATGACTATTGTTTATAAACAATGTTCTGACGCCGAGTGGGTCACATGGCTTGTCACGTGACGAAGTCATTTACTTTCGCCGCAAAGAATAAATGGATTACAAGGAAAGAGTAAACAAACGCACATGTCTTTTGTATGACACTTGCTTTTGCGCCTTTCTGCTAATTCTTGTTTGCAGTAAATGATTCTACAGTGTTATAATATATATATACAATCAATCTTAGTAATTCTAGTGAAAAATATCACTTTGAGGATTGACCAATCAGAGAGCCCGATACAAATCACTGGGAACACAACCTTCAACTCCACCGTAAATTTCCATGTTCATGGCAGTCAGCAGACGATGCAAGCCAGTAACTCTACCTATGTTATCAGTGGTCAAACCCATCCCGGTTCTGAGAGTCTTGAGTGTGGACCAAGGCATTTTAAAAGAATCCGTGTCATTGATAGTGACAGATACTAGGATGGCGCCATACTTTTTCATGCGCGGAAGAATTTATCAAACATTGTTTTTATTTTTTCAGTTAACGTTTAAACCATTGTATTGTGTATATGTGACATCAATAAATTACAAAATCCATGTCCAAACACAAATAGGCCAGCTTTCTGTAGTGTTATGATGGACAGGCTTGAAATTTACGTTATTTGTATGATTAAAATGGTAACCGCATGTGAAATTAAGTGAAAAATAATCATTAAAAATTGTAAACTGTATAGTACATTTTGACGCGAACAGGCGACAAGGACCTAAAAGTTACCTTACAGAAAGTGCCAGAAAGCGTAAGAGGAAGGAGTCAGACAGAGGACAGTCAAGAATTTATATTAGACAGGAGATCGATAGATGGCAAAAGATGAATGAGGACCTTTGACTGAATTCGGATTCGGAATTTGCAAAGCTGCTGCTTGACTGGTTTAGCTTAACGTCAGCCATATAATCATAACGTATCCGCCTGTCATTGACTACATATAGGATATTTAATAGTGTCTTCAGTAATAACAAATATATTTCACTCGCGTGGCTAATTTTTTGGTATCTTTCACGAGTGCGAAGTGTGAAATATATTTGTTATTACTGAAGACACTATTAAATATTCTGTTTATTACATTTTCATCACAAAAATAAACCAAAACAATGGATATTGCCAGTACAGATCTCCACTGTACAAACTATATAGAGAGGCACACACTGATAAGCCCGGACTAAAGCAAGCCCTTGTAAACAAGTACCTGCCTTCAGCTTTGTGTGGCCAGGCTATCAGCACCAAAGGAGCCAGGTTACTTCTCGGACACCTGAATATACCTGCAGGAGCCAAGAGTGGAATGCAGCGACAGGCAAATCAAGTGTCCAAGGACATTACTGCCCTCAACAAAAAGGACATGTCCGAGAAGACCAGACTGGCGGTGGAGGCCAACACCCCGAGAGGAGATGATTCCCCGAGCACCATCAGACTAGCTGTGTATGGGCGGTACAACAGCACCTCATTTGGAAGTGCTAAGAAGCCAGGGATGAATGCCTCACATGGGTTAAGTCTGGGTATCGAGACATCTACCCCTAAGAAGTAGATACTTGGACGTGCCCTCCACAACAAACTTTGCTGGACAGGTGTTTGGCTGAAAGGGAAAGGATATGATGTCACCTGTTCTGGTGGTCATCCTGACTGCACAGCCAGCACTGACCGATACGACGGCTTGTCCGGGTATGCCATGGGAAAGGACATTGGGGATCAACTGGCTAGACAAGACGTGCTCATAAAATATGCCACCACAGATGGAGATGGAACTGGACCCCAAGGCCTGCAGGAAGCCGTGAGAGCCTTACATCCCATGTGGAAAGTGTAGAGACTGGCTGACCCAACTCACCTAGGCAGAGCACAGTTCCGGAAATGTAACAGTGCTAAGTGGAGCGAGTCAATGTTTCCTGGTACCAGACTGATGAGGTCTCATGCTCAGAAGGTATTTTCTGAAGACTTGAAAGTCCGGAGCAGTCTGATTTTCAAGGAAGTGATGAAGATTCACTCCAGAAACACTGAGACTATCACGACTTGTTTACCTACAGTGTTAGATGCTACTGT